TTACATGAGCTTTACTCCTGTGGAACTCAGAAGTTAAAGATGCTTTTAGTAATAAAAATATTACTCTTAGTAGTATCAGAATGTCCCTCTTCAGCAACCACTTTTGCTCAGTCTTCCAGATGATGATAATGTTTTATTCCTGTATGTCCAGGAAAATTCAGGTCATGGTCTAGAGGCATGAATGTAAATATACCCATTAAGGACACATTGTATGTAGCCTCTCCCTTAACCCAGTAGCTGAGGCTTATCTTTCTTGCCTCTGAACAATTGCAGCTTCAGCTAAATTTTTCTACTAGTGAAGCTGGCCACTCTTTTCTCCTTACCCACTAACTGGGCTATGTTGTGTTTTTAATAGGATAATCTAAGCCCGAAGCTGGTTGTCTGAATACCACCTCCAAAATCTTGGTGTGATATTATTTGCTGATAGGTTTTATCTTAAAAGTGAAAAAAGTCAATACCACACGTGGTTTCTCCTTTGCCCAAGCAAGAATTTTGAAGTAAAGTTGTTTAGGTTTATTAAACAAATGTTTAATAAACAGCTGTATAATATCCCATCATATGACTGTGTCATAATATTAATTATTAACTGAAGTCATAAAGTTAATTAGGAAAGAACAAAACTAAAACCTTCATATTCAACAACATAAAAGATTATTAAGACTCCATATAACAAAATATATTTATATATATAAACAAATCAGGTATAAAATGATTAATTGATTGGAAGAAAATATTTACATCATACCTGACAGATAAAGGTTAGTATCCTTTTTTGTTCTTAGAGAGAGTGTGTGTGAGGGGCACAGAGGGGCAGTGGGAGAGGGAGAGAGCCAGAATCCCAAAAAGACTCCACATCTGCTGTGGAGCTCAGTATGGGGCTCAAACCCATGACCCTGATATCATGACCTGAGCCATAATCAAGATTCAGATGCTTAACTGACTGAGTCACTCAGATGCCTCAGGTCAGTATCCTTAATACACTAATCACTCCTAAGAGGAAGACAAACAATTCTATGGACAAATTAACAAACAATATAAAGGATAATTCTCAGAAGAGTAAGTGTGCATATCAAATATAATAATAATCAAGAAAATGAGAAGTAAAATAATAGTCAATAGTGAAATAACATTTTATCTATCATATTGGCCAACACTTAAGAGAATTACAACAGTTAGTACAAGCTAAGGGCACTGGGAAAAGGCCCCATTCCTCTGCTGTGGTTGTGTGAATTGCTAAACCTTCATGGAATAGAACTTGGCAGTACTTATGACATTTAGAACACGCATACCCTTTGATCCAGAAATCATACTTGAGAGATTGGCTCTACAGAACTTAAAGTCCCAGTGCATAAGAATCTATGTGCAAAGATCTGTATCCTAGACTCAGTGTCCATGCTAGTAGATTATTGAGGCTGATGTGTGCTTTTTGAGGCCATTGAGGGGATTAAAGATAATATGTAGGAATTGTATCTTGCAAATTAGCTATCAGTATTAAAATACATGACAATATGGAAACAGTGTGGGATTTCCCAAGGAGGACCCCACCTTTCCTTAGTCTGTCTCCTCATACATCATTCTCTGTACTTGGTGTTTCCCATAACACAGCACTCAGCAGGAGCAGCAAGGGAAGAACAGAAGGAAATAACAGCAAGGAATAGCAGAAATAAATTCAACAGTCAAGGAGAGAAGCCCGTGCTTCCTCAGCCCAGGATGGAGATACCCTGGAGGACCACCTCCTGGAACTCTAGCCCATTAGTCTATTGATGTTTCTTTAAAGTATTAATTAGTCTCAGAAAGTTTGGGGTAAGGGTGAAAAGAAGTCTCTGCATCTTGGAGGCAGCAGTTGAGCCCTGGTCATGTCTGCAGATCCTGGAGTCTGACCATTATCACCTTGTCTCTGATGGTTTTATTATCTCATGGAAGTAAGTCTCCCAGTGGGTACTTCCAGAGAGCTTGGAGGCTCTGGGGCAAGTTCTCAGGGGCCACTTCTAGCCATAGGAGACTCTGGAAGCCTTTGTTAAATCTCCTCTAGTAGATTGAGACATCACACTGGGGTTTAGGCTTCATATGAATTTTGGGGGAACACATTCATTCCTTCTATAGCAACTCTCCCAAGGGCCTGCCTTCTACTTTCTGAGATTTCCTTCAGTAAATTCCCTATAAACATGTTTTTGCTCAGGCTCTGTTTTTGGTAGTATCTGAAACCAAAGTAAGTTTATTTTTCCTGTTTAATTCCAGAAGAGTATTTCCTTTTTTTATTCTGTATTATGTGCCAACAACCTAATGATTTGGAAGCAGATTCTTGTCCAGAGCCTCCAGATAATAACTCAGACTGGATGACACTTTGATTTTCACTTTGTGAGACCCTAAGCAAAAAACCCAGTCAAGCCCACCCAGACTTCTGACCAAAGCTACTAAATTTGTGGCACCTCGTTTTATCACTGATCTTGAGTCAAGGAGCACCTTGAATGATAGAACCTATGTTCTTTTAGGGTCCTTCTAAAATTCACATCCTTCTTCAGAATGTGACCTTATTTGGAAATAGAGTCACTGTGGGTATATAACTAGTTTCAATGAGGTCATGCTGAAGCAAAGTGGCCCCTTAATCCATTATGACTGGTATCCCTACAAGAAGAGAAAAAGAGACATAGATATGTACAAAAAAGGGAGAAGGCCATGTGAAGGTAAAGGCAGTGTTTGGGGTGGCACTAAGGAGCACCAAGTAATGCTAGCAACATTGGAACCTGAGAGGAAGGCATGGGGCAAATTCTCCGCTAGAGTTCTCTGAGTGAGGGCATGGCCCTGTCTACATCCGAATTTCAGACATCTCGCCTCCAGAAATATGAAAGAATATAGTTATGTGGTGGAAAGTCACCTAGTTTGTGCTATTTTGTTACAGCAGTCCTGGGAAACTTGGACAGGACTTACGTGTCTTCCTGCTCTTTTAGGTGGAAATGAAGCCTGTGCTATAGTTTCCTTAATCCAGCCTTATTTGTTAGCTAATAGGTTGTCTATCACTCTCAGGTTTTAGTGAGACTGTGGATTGAAAAAAAAAAGAAAGATTTCATTTATTCATGGGAGACACACAGAGAGAGGCAGAGACGTAGGTAGAGGGAGAAACAGGCTCCCTGCCTAATGTGGGACTTAATCCCAGGACCCCAGGGTCATGCACGACCTGAGCCGAAGGCAGACACTCAATCATAGAGTCACCCATGTGCCCCAAGACTATGGGTTTTTATCCTCGCCTGTGTGCTCACGAAAATATCAGTGGGAGGTTATAGGAAGCTACTAGACACTGCTATGCAGCACAACTATTCTGACTGTTCTTGATGTAACAGGTTTTTTAAAACTACCATGAATCTTTTCTGGAATCAGGTGAGGTATTAATTAATTAATTATGAAGATAATAAATATTGCTAGAAGGTAAGAGAGCACTTCAATCCATTACATAAACTTTGCCTTGGCTATGGGGCTTTGAAGGTTTAAAAGGCCAGCTCCAGAAAGGAAAGACATAAACCAGTCAATTTCTCTTCAGGCTTAGAAAGGCAATAAAAGCATTTATGATTCTCAAGTGGTATCATTTGGAATAACACACCTTCAGCATTAGAAAGTGGTTAAGGAGAGGAAACTGAAAAGACTCTGGAACATACATCAGGCTATGTCCTTGAGACATTCTTCTACACTGCTGCCAGAAAAAAAACAACAAAATGCAGATCTGGTTTGGCCTTGTCCCTACTTAACACCACTCTGATGGTACCACACTGCTTTCAAGACATCATGCCACACTTCTTAGCTAGGCATTCAAGCGTCTCCATACTGTGCCCTCCCTACTTCCCTGTATTTATCTCCTCTACTTCCAGCATATGCTCTTAGCAGCAGCCACACTGGGCTATGCACACCTGCTTGAATATTCCATGGTCTTTAACCCCTCTGCCTTTGCATGTGTTTCCACATGGGCATGCCTTCTCCTCCTCCATCCCTCTCCCACTATACTGACGAATCCTTCCTGGTCCCTTCAATGCAGGTGGTCCCCCCAACCCCTAGAGCCTGCTGGAGCCAGCACAGGTCTCTGTTTTGCACACATCTCCATTCTATGCAGTAATTCATCTCATGGTTGACTTTTCTACTATTCTATTATGCAGAGAGCTCCTAGGCAGGTGCTATGGCCTGGTGAACTCCACCCTGGCAGTACTGGTACTGTGCCCATCAGTGTTGGCTGATTAAAAGATCACTGGAGTGGAGCACTGACTACACTTTTAGAGTCACATCAGAGGTGAGCAGTAGCTTGGTGTCTATGTAGTAGAAAGTCCACTGAGGCAGATAAAACCTCCTTATATATGTTGAGTAGGCTACATAACTTTTTAAGCCAAAAGAGCACACAGCCTTAAAAGGCATGCCTTTTCCATCATTGTGACTCATGTGCACTACAGTAACCAGATTCTATCTCCAGCATTATTTTCCAGTAAAAGGAGCCAAGATCCCTTAGAGGAAAACTGATTCCATGGCTTAGAAAAAAAATCAGTGGGTCTGGACTTACTGATAACATAAGATGAGGATGTTTTTAAGATATCAAGGGGAGAAGATCCCTGGGTGGCTCAGTGGTTTAACACCTGCCTTTGGCCCAGGGCGTGGTCCTGGAGTCCCCAGATTGAGTCCCACATCAGGCTCCTGCATGGAGCCTGCTTCTCTCTCTGCCCCCCCCCGCCCTCATCTCTCTATGTCTATTATGAATAAATAAATAAAATATTTTAAAAAAAGGAGTTGAGGTGATATATTAAAAAAAAAGATATCAGGGGGAGAGGCTCCCACTAGGGAGGATGAACAATCAGAATAATAATTGTGATGAATTAGAACAAGGTAATCCAGGGAAATGCCATGAAATGAAATTAATTTTTTCCTAATTATACATTAGTAAAAGGGTTTTTTTGTGTGTATATATATATATATATATATAGAGAGAGAGAGAGAGAGAGACATAAAATATACAATATATAAAAATATACAAATATGTATTTTTTAATCTAAGTAAATGTGAAAGAACAAAATAATGTGTTCAGTGTAGTAATATACAATCTGAAGGGCAAGTTACAAAAGATATCTTTAACAATTCTGCCACAAAGAATAAAGTTTAAAACTGGTACTTGACTTAGCTTCAGATGTTTTAAGGGAAAACTGCCCATGATGAACATTTCTCAGTCTAAGTGTGAGGCTAAAAACAAATTTAAATAAATTTATTCTTATTACTTCTGAGTAGATATGATTTACTTACTGGAAGTTCTCAGAAGACCCGAGTCAATAAATGTGAATATTTAGTAGCATTTTTCTGTGAGAATGGATATAAACATAATACAAAAACATACACAGAGATGAATTATTGTTTCTTTTAAAGTAGTCGCATCAGAAAGTATGTGTTCATTGTAATATTCCTGTTACTTAAACTATTATTAGATCACTAATTTAGATATTTGGAGATTATTTTCAGTGCTAATTTATAAGTTTTAAGAATATAAGTCCTATCCCTTTACTCATTTTTTTTCTCTCTCCTCTCAATTCCTTTTCTCCTTCCCTCCCTCCAACTGTTAGAAATGGCAATATTCCTTCCCCTTGCAAAACATATCCATTGGAGCCCTGTCATCACAGCTAGCAAGCAGATGGTGGCTAGAACTGAGAACTTCCTATGACAGCTTTTAAAAGATCCGTGCATGACCCTGACATCCCTAGGGCTGTCCTGGCTGACCTTCCTTCCTAAGATCTAGTGGTTCAATTCTTTCTTTAACCATCTTTCTTTACTTCTCTTTGTATTGTTTTAGTTAGCAAAAGTTGGCTTCAGCAGCTTACGGCTATAGAACATAATTGAGACAACTGGTTTACCTGTCAGTTTTGACTTCATTTGACAGATGAGAAGACCTATGATCAGAGAGGAAAAATGAATTGCCTGAGGGCATATAGATTTTCCACAGAAGTGGATCTGAAGGGGCACCTGGATGGCTCAGTTGGTTAAGTGTCTGCTTTCAGCTCATGATCCCAGGGTCCTAGGATGGAGCCCTGAGTTGGGCTCCCTGCTCAGTGGAGAGCCTGCCTCTCCTTCTCCCTCTGCTGCTCCCCCTCCCAGTTCTCTCTTTCTCTCTCTATCAAATAAATAAATAAATAAATAAAATCTTAAGAAAAAAAAGAAATGGATCCGAAACTCAAGACTAATCACTCCAACTCAGAGGTATATCTCTTATATGCACTACTTCTCACATTCAACACCCTTCTTCCCCTCTACTTTCACCCTAAGTGTACCCAACCACTGAACACAAAGATGTACTCATATATGGCTCTTTGTTATAATTCAGCCTTTTTGAAGTGGGGGAAAGAGAAGCACCCGGAAAAGGACTGGAAGAATAAGTACCAGATAAGATGGTGAGTTTATGAAATGCAATGCTACTTAGGATATCTTACCTACCAGGCAAAGGTGACAAAGCACCTAGGCATTACTCTGGGATCCCTCCTCTCCTTCCCCCTCCCCCCAGGCTATTTAAGTCAATCTTTTGCTACAGGAATGTAATTGGCTTTACATTTATATTTTATTTTATTTATTTTTAAAAGATTTTATTTATTGATTCATGAGAGACACACAGAGAGACACAGAGACTCAGGCAGAAGAAGAAGCAGGCTCCCTGTGGGGAAGCTCTACATGGGGCTTGATCCCAGAACCCTGAGATCATGACCTGAGCAAAAGCAGACATGTAACCAACTGAGCCACCCAGGTTCCCCAAATTTTCAACATTTTGAGTATAGCATTTTCAAAGGAAAATACAAGTTGAATGTAGTTGAATGTGGATCAACTACAGTCTGGTTTCTATTATATCTCCTTTGCTGCCATGCAGTGACGGTTCTAGGAAATACAAGAATCCCAATGTCCTAGAACAATGAAAACTTCTGTGACTGAGTACTATGTTCTTTGCCCATGAGGTACTTTCATTAGGTGGGGATATTTCTGAGCCTAGGGATTTAATCTGCTGATTTGCATCAGTGGTGACACTTAATGTCCTCGAGAGCACTTACTAAACATGTTTCCGGGTCCTGTACAAAGCAAGGAAAACAGACCCCTGAAAATGACATGTGGTCCATCTCTAGCTCAAACAAAAAGCCATGAGGGCATCATGAGAAATAAGCCCATCATTGAATACTTGGGTTGCTTCTATCTCTTAGCTATCATAAATAATACCCACCCTCTCCCCTTTAGTTCCAGAACAGTCTCCATGGCACTCAGCTTTAACCTGCATCAATAAACTAAACAGCTTTCAACATCAGAGAAAGCAAGGGAGGGTTCAGTGAATGAAATGAGGAAAGACGGATGCCTGGCTGGCTCAGTGGTTGAGCGACTGTCTTTGGCTCAGGGTGTGATCCCCACCCAGGATCTTGGGACTGAGTCCCGCATTGGGCTCTCTGCATGGAGCCTGTTTCTCCCTCTGCCTATATCTCTGCCTCTTTCTCTCTCTCTCTCTCTCTCTCTCTCTCTCTGTCTCAAATAAATAAATAAATAAATAAATAAATAAATAAATAAATAAATAAATCTTTAAGAAAGAAATGAGGAAAGAGGATTGGTTTGTGTAATCCTATCCCTTTGCTGGCTGGTCTCCAGTTGGTTATGAGGAGAACCAGCCAACAGGGGGCAGCAACAGCATTTTGGTTTATACTCACTTCCAAAGTGAAAGCTGTGTCTACTGCTGAGTGATGCGAGATCAGATTAGACCTTTGGTCCCACTGAAATTCTTCCCTACAGAGGACGTCATCATGCTCTTCCCACTTGTGAGCATCCCTTTGCTTCTCCTCCATTCATTTTTATCGAGTTTTCAGGAAAAACTATAGATCAAGACTTGCAAAATTGTCCTAGGAGTAGCAGAGTTGAACAACCAAGATCTACATGTAAAACAGAACCTATGTTTAGATCTCTTTGGTTCTCAAAGGGCAAATAAATCCAAATTTGTGGGTGTCTATGCAACTAAGGTAGACCCAGGCATGGAACCAGAAGAGCTGGAGGCTGTGTGTAGTAGAGTCAACACTCATTCTGTCATACTGTATCCTGGCAAGTCTCCTCTCTCTTTGAGGTCAAGGAGGTTGGGACTGTTACTTTTATTTTTGATAGCCATATACATGCATTCATCTCACATGATCTAGGATGGGGTAACAAGATTTCTAAAAGAGACATCCAAAAGGCCATGAACCTTTTTGTCATATTCAACCTTGATTAAGTTACTTGAACTCTCTGAGTCTGTTTCTTTATCTAGACAGTGGGAATAATATCTGTTGTGAAAACTCAGATGTTGAAGCCCTAACCCCTTGTGTGAATGTATTAGTAGATAGGGCTTTTAAGGAGGAAGTTAAAGTTAAATGAAATCATAAGGGCGACACTAATTCAATAGGACTAGTGTCCTTAAAAGAAGAGGAAGAGACCTCGGCAGCCATTGTCGTCGTTGTCGTCGTCTTCTTCTTCTTCTTCTTCTTCATCTTCTTCTTCTTCTTCCTTCTTTCTCTCTCTCTCTTTCTCTCTGTATGGATAAGGAAGAAGCCATGCAAGAACACAGTGAGAAGATGGCTGCTTTGGAAGCAAAGAAGAGAAAACAGAAAACAGCCCTGTCAAGACCTTGATCATGGGATACTGGCCTACAAAAGAATGAGAAAGTGTTTATTGTTTAAGACACCTAGTCTGGTATCCCATTATAGCAGGTCAAGCACGCGAATATAATATCTAATGTTAGCACAGGATGCTGCAAATAATAATTTCCTTCTTGAATATCTTACATGCTTAGACTTCGATATTCAATTTCCTATTATACTTTTTCACCCAGATACTACCACAAACATCTCAAGATCAGCATTTCTTAAAACAAATTTATCTTCTCCCCCCTAAACTCTAGTTACCTGGGCTGGAAACTACCACTGTGTTTCCTCTTTTGCTCACATCTCAAATCTGATGTGTCTCCAGGCTTGTCCATTCTATCACAATATCTCTTAATTCTCTCTTCCTCAGCACTTTCCACTCCAGGAACCCACTTTAATTTCCTCCCATGTGGACTATTCTAAGAATCCTCTTGACTCTCAGTAATAGCAAGTAGTCTCCTGGATCCACATCTCTATCTTTCAAATCATCTAGAAAAAATATTCTCTCCAAATTACCAACTTAAAATCTCTTCCAACAACTTTTCATTTTCTAATTTTTGAGGGTCTGGTATTGCTTGGACATGAAAATGATATTAAGAAACTGTGTGTGTGTGTGTGTGTGTGTGTGTGTGTTTTAAAGTCTGCAAAGTCCTTAAGATGCTCTAAATCTGGCTTTAAGTTGAAAAACACAGAGTGTTGGGTTATTTAAAAATTGGAAATGGCTGTCTTCTAAAAATGACATAGACTCTATGTGTGTGTATTTTATAATTCAAAGAGTGTAAGAGAAGAATTAGGTCATTAAAAAAAAATAATCATCCAATATAGGGGAAGGTGAGGTAAGTGGCCTTCCAGGACCCTTCAGACCTGAGAATCTCTGATTCTTTAAAGGTTGATGCCATTTTTTACATTTGTTTTTTTTTCATTCACTCAACAAATAGAAGTGTGTGCCTTGTGCAAGGCTAAAGAATGAATTACACAATGAGCAAGGACCTCCAAGGGAATAGAAAGACTGAAGAAGAGATAGAAGGACAGCAGATGGGGGAAGAATCAAGTTCTAGGTGGGATCTCCAGCAAGGTAGGTATGGTATCTGACAGCCAGGCTAAAAAGTCCCCAGAACTCTCCTTACCTCTTTCTTTATCCTTCTTTGTGTGCTTCTGTCTTGGCCATTCTTCATTAAAACTGTGGCTTGAATGACTACTATAAGCCAGGAGCTCACAGTCTAGTAAGAGAGAGGAAGAATGAGAGAGCTTGAAACATGGATCATTACAATTCAGTTTACAGGAAGAACATCTAAGAAAGATTCAAGGCTGACTTCCTGGAGGTCTGACTCTGAGTAGGTATTGGGCAAAGCAAGATAAGCAAAGTTATAGAGCAGTTTGGAGTTGCTGTCACTCAGTGTGGAGCAGGGAATGAAAGGAAATGAGATGTGAGGCCCAAGGTAGGAAGTGAAGCCGTGTAGGTCCGAATAGGCCAACTTGGTTTCTTCTGGGGGAGTTTTTCATTTAACAACATGGTTGTTCTACTTCACGGGATCATCGCCTTTCAACCTATGCTCTAAAAATCTTTATGCAACTCACCTTAACAAACTGTCTCACTCTTAAGGTAATATTTAAGGCTCTTGTGGAGGCCCATTCTAGCTGTATCTCCCACATCTCTTAGATGAAACTGAATTGTCAATAAAGCAGCTACTTGCTGTTCTCTGAGCATTCTTCTGTGCTTTACAGCTTCCACTCCATCATATAGCTCTGCCTCTCCCCTTCTTGCTCCTCTCACCCTGTCATACATGCAAGCTTTACATTCTTAAAATTCTACTCCAAGTGTGGCAAACTGGTTAGAAGAGTAGTGACTAAAAATCTGAATTTTTGGTTTCTCTTGGAAAATCAAGAGCTGGTATGTGTGGGCCTGAATGTCCGCATGGCAACAAGTGGCTAAAATGGAGTTGGGTTATCCTTTAGAGGGGCACATGTGCTGCAGTTTACAGAACAGGTCTTTTTAGCTTAGCTGCCTAGCTTCTACCACCTTTTGGGTTTCCATTCCCTAACCTGATAAATGTCATCCCTTTCACAATATATTCTCCCAATTTGAATGACAATCATACCATATACTCATCACCTGTTTTAATATTACTTTAGAAAAATATAACTTACCTTTGCTTCTGGTCTTTTATATATGGCCAGTGCCCAACACATTTTTATTTCCTCAACAAAATGAAAGCACTCTGCCTCCCTAATATGGAGTATAAATACCGTGTTTGTGGCTATGTACGTGTATTTTGAAGAGGGACTCATATTACCTGTCAAAAAAATCATAGGTTCTTAAATTTCCTTTAAAAACGTATTAGATGGTTCTTGCCCTTTATAGGCATCCTTTTCTCTGTAAGTCTTGACTCATTTAACAGAAATTTCACAGATGAAGACATAGACATGGCCAACAAGCACATGAGAATATGCTCCGCATCACTGGCCATCAGGGAAATACAAATCAAAACCACAATGAGATACCACCTCACACCAGTGAGAATGGTGAAAATTAACAAGGCAGGAAACCACAAATGTTGGAGAGGATGCGGAGAAAGGGGAACCCTCTTGCACTGTTGGTGGGAATGTGAACTGGTGCAGCCACTCTGGAAAACTGTGTGGAGGTTCCTCAAAGAGTTAAAAATAGATCTGCCCTACGACCCAGATCCAGCAATCACACTGCTGGGGATTTACCCCATAGATACAGATGCAGTGAAACGCTGGAACACCTGCACCCCAATGTTTCTAGCAGCAATGTCCACAATAGCCAAACTGTCCGGAAGGAGCCTCGGTGTCCATCGAAAGATGAATGGATAAAGAAGATGTGGTTTATGTATACAATGGAATATTCCTCAGCCATTAGAAATGACAAATACCCACCATTTGCTTCAACGTGGATGGAACTGGAGGGTATTATGCTGAGTGAAGTAAATCAATTGGAGAAGGACAAACATTGTATGTTCTCATTCATTTGGGGAATATAAATAATAGTGAAAGGGAATAGAAGGGAAGGAGAAGAAATGTGTGGGAAATATCAGAAAGGGAGACAGAACATAAAGACTCCTAACTCTGGGAAACGAACAAGGAGTAGTGGAAAAGGAGGTGGGTGCGGGGGTGGGGTGACTGGGTGACGGACACTGAGGGGTGCACTTGGCAGGATGAGCACTGGGTATTATGCTATATGTTGGCAAATTGAACTCCAATAAAAAAAAAAGTATTGACTCATTTAAAGTAAAAGAGAACCTATCTTTAAATTTATGGGAGTAATACTTTTGTCACTGACAATTTCAGATTCCATATAATAGTTTCTCTGTCTCTGGCAACCTAATCAGTAAATTCTAAACAACGTCCCAGGCTTCATGCTAAGCTCTCTACCTGCATTTAATTCCTTCCACAAGTCAACCTTAAGTATCTTCTTTAATTTATTCAAGAGCAATTATTCAAATTGACTAGTTGCTAGGTAATTAAGATGTAAACCTAAATAGGCTGACCCCAGGGCAGTCTTCATCATTAAATCTTGCCCACCCTTACCAAGGACTAGTATTCTCACAGAGACCCCATTTTATGCAAGCACATCACTACCTACCTCCCACCCCCCACCCCACCAAGTAATGGATTATAGCAGCAATTCTCAAGTGTGTCCTGGACCACCATATTGGCATCACTTGGGAGCTTGTTAGAAATGTAAATTATCTGGCTACAGCCCAGACCTGATAAATTAGCAATTCTGCGAATGGTCCCAGAAATGTGTTAACAAGCCTTTCAGGTGATTCTGATGCACCTTGAAATTAAGAACCACTGGGCAGAGGTCCCTCCTCTGTGCTTGCAGGGCACCTTGTTCTTGCTTTCCTAGTTTCTCAGTTCCTCCACTTGACTACTCATTTAAAGTTCTTTAAGACGGACTTGATTTATTTCTACCACACTTACAAAATGACTGAATAGATGACTGTGGCAGGCCAAGATATTTAACAACACTCCTTACTCATTAGTGTAGGGTGAATGAAATTTCAGCAATACTTAAATAATAACCTTGGAGTTTTTTTTTTTCTCTTCCCAAAGCATCCAGAGATGGGGTAAGAAAGGAGCCTGCCAGAGGAATAAAAGAATTCAGTCTAGTAAACCTGAGTGTTGATGGAAATTCCACAGGATATTGAAGGGGAGCATACTTTCATACAAAACTGTATTCAGAAGCAGAGCCTATCAGATTCACATTCTCCTGTAACTCAATTCCTAGTAGTGGAACACATCCTTTAATTAACTTAAAGCAGCAATGATTTGTCTCTTGTAAGATGCTCATAAAAGGAGATGAAGACTGCCACAGTGCACATTAATTACTACAGGAGGCTACCCTGTTACTGACCTGTTTGCTCCTAGTTTTAGGGCTCTGAGAAGACATGCATACCAAACTGGGAATACATAAAAACCTGAAGAGTATTTGCTTTACTTCTATACAGAATGTAAGTGTATTCAGGGTAAAAATATAAATTTTGAAATCTAGCAATATACAGAGGTTTTTCTGTTGCAGGTTGCTGTCAAAATTTGCAAATTATTAAGGTGGTGTTGGTCCCAGTCAGAAGTTACTCCAGACACAAAACTGCTATAATACTGAGGGCAGATCCTCAAAAATGGCCCTATAGCCATGCCCCTGCTACAAAGTGACTTGGTTGTGATTAATAGGATACCTGCTAAGTGGTCAAAGATCAAGTTATCTTTTTGTAAAAGATAACTATAATCACCTCATAGTCCCAAAACACTTTGTGGATATTCTGTTGGATGAAACTTATCAACAAGACCATCTTCTATGACTTGGACTCAAATGCAAGGCCAGGAGGGGGGCAAAGTTCAAGCTTCAGGAAATCAATAACACACAAAGCAAGTGATTTTTCCAAAACCTGTGATTTTAGGTGTTGTCTATATCATTAAAACAATTTCCCAAGGGCAAAATAATCAGGAGGTAGTAGTATGCAAAATATTCCATTTTGTTTTATTTTTATGGATAACTGTCATTAATACAGCAGGAACTGGTATGATTATAAAAGATACAAAAAAAATCAGAAGAATGTTAGCATTCAATAGAAATTAAAACCTGAGCTGAAGGCTGATCAGAAAGTCTGACTTTTGGCACTGTTCTGATGAAAGTTAAGAAACATGTATGCTTGACTTCATAAATAATTCATATTAAATCAGAGAAAGTTAGCTTACATTTCAAAATCTACACATTGAACTACAATGCACCAACACTTTAAATGATTTTCACTGTTGACAAACATTTAAGATAACCAGTGTTATCTAAAACTCTCAAAGGGGGTACACAGGGAAGTGTGTAAATTGTAGATTTCTAATTAACAAGTGGAGATGTGTTGGTATAATATGGTTTGATTATTAATTCATGTAGATCTAAAAGGCTAGCTCCGTTTGTCAGAGCATAAAAGAATGCCAAAAGACAGAGGCATGGGGATAGATCAACATAAATCCACCCCAATTTCTGGAAAACAAGTGATACAGTATAACACCAAAGAACTGTGCTCCTAGGAATAGGAGACTTGTGGTCTAATTGTTTTCACTTTGGCTTCTAGAGTATCTCTTACTAAGAATTTGGTGAAAAAGAGGGAAATTCCTTTGATTAATAACTGTCCATAAGAAGTAGGGAAAAAAAACAACAAAAAAAGCTAACAAAGTGATGGGCATTATTGATTAAAAATCTGAACATGAATACATGTTGTTATGTTCAATCTGGAGTCATACTTACAAACCAATGGTTAATATACTACAAAACTTTACAAACATAAAATCTCCTCATCGGTCGCAGAACTTCCAAACTAATGTAATTAATTTCTTCTCCCTTTTAATTACTCCTTTCACAGAAAATCCTAAAACTGAGGAGTCACCAGAATACCTGCACTTTTACATGTGTCATCAAAAACATAGTTGTTTTTGTCAAAATGATGCAGGAAGCAATATCACAGGAGTTCAAGATCTTAAAGTCTCTCAAAACATAGTTTCAGTTTTTTTGTACTCCAAGTTACATAAAAAAAAAAAAAAAGAGAGAGAGAGAGAGAGAGAAAGAGAACAGGTGGACTCATAGTTTCTTTCAGCCCAATGTCGGCAAATATCCAATGTCTCCATGCTAGGAAAGGATACAGTATTTAAGTGGTCTATTACAAAATATCTCCAGTTCTAAAAGAGATAGCTTTTATTTATTTTTAAAAGAAGGTTGAAGCAGTGCCCTTTACTTAGTTTAGCGGAGACCAGCCACTGACTTCCTACCTGTACCAGCTTTCCAGGATGACACTAAGTGAGTTTTTGACCTAATACTTTTGCCTCGGGTTTTACGAGGTTTCTCTTCTTTGTGCACCTTCGTGTGCTGCCTAAGATGAGAGCTCTGGCTGAAGCATTTGCCACATTCACTGCATTGGTAGGGCTTCTCCCCTGTGTGGGTTCTCTGATGTTGAATAAGGTGGGAACTCTGGCTGAAACATCGGCCACACTCATCACACTGATAGGGTTTTTCTCCAGTATGAATTCTCTGGTGCTGAATGAGATTTGAGCTCTGTTTAAACCTTTCTCCACACTCATCACATTTATAGGGTTTTTCCCCGGTATGGATCCGCCGATGCTGAATGAGGTTAGAGCTCTGAAAGAAACTTTTTCCACAATCGGCACATTTATGGGATTTCTTTCCAGTGTGAATCTTCTGGTGTTGAAAAAGGGTTGAGCTCTGACTAAAACTCTTTTCACATTCAGTACATTTATAAGGTTTCTCATCCAAGCTTCTTCGCAGTCTACTCAAGCTTGAGTCAAATCGAACAGTCATTCCCCATTTTTGCCGCTGCCTGCCTGTTTTGCGTGGGTTCTCACAGGCTTTTCCTTGGCTCGAGCTCCGAGAAATACTTCCCTTTGGTTTTCCTAACCGCATGGTGATGAGCCAAATGTATTCTTAAGAGTCTGCTCTCTTCTGAAGTTTCACTTCCTAGTGCTACACAGCTCAGAATTTTCTGTGTAGAAGAAAAAAAAATAAGAGCCAAGATAGATCATTGTTGTTATTATTCAAATTGAACCCATATTGTTTAATCTTCAACCCACTGAAATTGCATCCATGTTTAAATAAAAAATGTATCCAATACATAAGAAAACAAAGACAATTTGGGGGGAAAAACATTTGGAAAATAATTCTAATAATTCCCAGGGTTTCAACTTAATAAATATCCCCAAATTTTGACCCAATTTACCTATAGAGTTTTTGTCTGTTGGGATAGGACAAAATAAAAATAATGCGAAATGAAGTAAGTTTTTATTAAGGCATTATCAAGTAAGTTTTTATTAGGCATTATCAAGTGAATATATAACTCTGAAGGATTAACGGGTGGAGACAACATAGTATATTAACGGGAACAGAATAACTCCGAAAGACAACCTAAATTTAGGTAATAAACCATTACTACATTTTAATATTTACTCCTGTGTTAAAGTTCTACTTACTGGTGACTATTTTAGGCATCCAGATTAGAAAGAAATGACAAATCATAGCACTTTATTAAATATTTTTGTCTATGCTTCTTTCGCCATTCTACTTTCACAGCATGGATACAACCTGGCTCTAACTTTGCAGCATGAGTTGTTTTGAAAGTAGGAACTACCCTATAAAGAGTTTCTGGAAGTCAATTCAGTAATCCTGAATGAGAAAATGTAAACGAAGAGATGCTTTATAGGTTTGTTTTCCCTAGATTCTAATGATCCAAATGAAACAAAGGAATTGTTTCTGGAGAAGAAAAGAAATCAAGAACTTTTACTGGATAGTGGAATGAAACTGGGTAGAAACAAAGAGTGGTGAGTAGAACTCAAGAAACGGAGGAGGAAAAAAGTAGTTTACATGCAAAAATAGAAGTTTTAAAATACCCAAATGCTGCAAAAACTCAAATTAGTTTCATGTATTCACTTATAAGGTCGTTTAAAATAATGGCTATAAACAAACCTATAAGCCACAAACTCCAAATAGGTGACAATGTGGAATAAGCGAGGCTGCAAAAGTAATAAAATTATTGGAACTATTTTCCACATCTTATGTCAGGAAGTAGACTTTAAAATGGGAATAGTTACTCTGGGTCTCTGCATCAAGCTTATAAAGCAAATAATGGAAAATACAAATTATATCATTGTTCTTGCCTTTCTTTCCTTCATCTGTTTGTATAATTCAGACTCCAGGCCTGGTAATGCTGAGGACTTTACCTGGATATTTAATAATTCTCTATGTTAAAATTACGGTCAAGTATCGGAAAGAGCCAAGTGCATACAATACCAAGCACCGAGAGAGCACTCATTACTCATTAACTTTAGTCAGTATTTGCAGAATATCTAGTTCAAGGAGGCATTTGTTAGGTACTTGGTGTAGATGATGAAACAAACAGCTATAACAGAAATCATACACTGAAAAAATCATTTTGGACACTACAGAAATCAGATGTGGTAGGAAACTCTGAGACCACGTAACCCACCGAGGCCACTACTCGTGACGAAATCGCGGATGCAGACACTATTCTATGGTACTTAATTCGCAGAGCAGCTTTATGCGGTGATGCCCACTTTACAGCTACGGAAAGGCAGGCCTCCTTCGGCCAGGTCCCCAGCCCCGGGCAGCCTGATCCCAGAGCCTGTCCGCTTGACGGCGGAACGGCGGGGCGGCGGGGCGGCGGGGCAGCGGGGCAGCGGGGCAGCGGGGCAGCCACAGCTTTCAACGCCCAGCGCGGCGCCGGCTGCGGCCGGGCTGGCTGCGGCCGGGCTGGCTGCGGCCGGGCTCGGCCTCACAGCCGGCAGGTGCGGGTATCACCGCAGACCTGGGGGACGAGGGCCGCCGTCGTGCCAACACGCGTACCCGGAATGGACCCGCTTTCTGCTACGTAGAACTGGGAGGACAATAAAGCTGCTACATCATCGGGTGTTAGAGGCGCAAAGGAGTCCGTATCCGGAGGTCTCCTAGCAGCCGCGTGCTACCCAAGCACTGGTTCAGAGTATCTAGTCCTGCAAAGCGCCGGGCGGCGGCCGGCCTAGGGACCGCGGCCGGAGCAGCAGGGGCCCCGCGCAGGCCTCCGCCCGCCCAGGCCTCCGCCCGCCAAGCCCCGCAGGCCGGGCCCGCCCGCTCCCTCCGCCCCCCGCCCCCGCCCCCGCCCCAGCCCCGCGCCGAGCCCTCCCGGCGGCTCCCGGAGAGGGGGTCCGGGTCCGCGGCGCCCGAGCGGCCTCGACCACCGCGCCGCGCGCCCCCGGCCCACTCACCGCGCAGCGGGCCGCCGCCGCCGCCGCCGCCGCCGCCGCCGCCCTGGCTCGCTCGCTGGCTGGGCGCCCCTCGCGCCGCCGGAAGTGCGGGCCGCGCCGTCTGTCGGCGCCGGCGGCCGCTCTAGGAACGTGGCGGGGGCGACCCTCTATGGTGCTGGGCCCACCGGAAAGGAGGGACCCAGACTTTCTCCTTGCTTTGCTGCCCCGCCCGCCGCCCCGAAGGCATCTCGAGGGCTGCAGGACGCCAGACCCATGGCCGCGTCCCTTTGTGGGTGCGAACTGGCCTCCCTCCCGGGCGGCTCACTGCAGCCCCAGCAGTCGGGGCCTTGAGAGGCGGCAGCAGCCTGCCCAACCGCTAGACCTCCTCCCTCCTCCGGGTGTCGAGCGCTTCATTCTAGAGGTGCTCCCAGCTCGGGGAAGCCCGCAACGGGCTGTGGAAGCGGAGGAGGGCGGGGGGGGGGGGGGGGGGGACGGGCACTGAGGAGGGCGCTTGATGGGATGGGCGCTGGGTGTTACAACCAAATGTTGGCAAATCCAGCTCCAATAAAGACAAATGAAAAAAGAAAAAAGAGGTACTCTGGGGAGAGCTGCAACTGTTACTGATATAGTCACCTGTGGTTTTTTGAAAATGTTTCCTTAACGGAGTAAATGTCAACTGTTTTTTTTTTTTTTTTTTTAATTTCAGGGGTAGGTGCACCTGGATGGCTCAGTGGTTAAGCTTCTGCCTTCGGCTCAGGTCGTGATCTCGGGGTCATGGGATCGAATACCCCATACGGCTCCCCGCAGGAAGTATGCATGTGTCTCTGCCTGTCATGAATAAAAAAAAAAAAAAATTAAAGATCTTTAATTCTGGTGTAGTTTCTAGTGTAGTTAACTTACAATGTTATATTAGTTTCAGGTAAATTTTAAGATCTTAGTCCGCTTTGTTAAGCCACTATGAATGGGCAGCATCCAGGAAGTAGAGAGATGCTCCAAGGAGTTGTACAAAATGGAAAGTTTTTTTTTTTTTTTATAGGAAGGAGGGTGGGAAACATTATTAGCAAAAGGAAAAAAGAAAGATTGTTATATTTTGGTGGAGAGGGATGGAAAGGCAGAGTCTTTGTCATATGGATGCCCTCACTAATGATCATCAGAAAAGTTCAGATGTTACAAGACCACATTCCTGGCATAAGTTGAAACTGTAACTAAGTCTTGGTTTCTTTAGGGGAGGGGAGCAGGGGCAAAAGACTCCATTTTGGGCTTAACACCTTAATTATCACCAAAAAGTGTCTGGAAGATGGGAATGATCACACTCCACAGATAGGACACCAAGGCTTAGAGAAGTTTACTCAGGTTCACACAGTGTGTTTAGTGGAAGATCAAGGATTGGGAGGAGTCTTTTTGGCACCACGGTCTCCTGACTTTAAGCCTGCCCCCTCCTTTCTCTTTGAGAATGATCTCTCTTGGTTCTCCTCTCTCACAAGCTCCTCCTCCTTCTCTGACAGCCTGGCAAGTGCTGGGTTATCTGACCTCTCTTCCTTTCTCTGTGCCCTCATTCCCCTGTAGAGCTGCTTCAGTCTGATAGCTTCAAATGCCATCTTATATGCTAAAGACTCCTGACTTATAACTCTAGTAGTCCGACAATGGGATGCAAATATTATTGAACTCCAGACCTGTATATCCAGTTGCTTATTCTGGGGCCATTTGCGTATGTGATGGACATCTTGAACCTAACATATGTCCCAAAGGAACTTCTGACATTCACCCAACCAGTTTCTTCAACAGTCTTCATCCTAGCAATTGGCAACTCCTTTTTTCTAGTTGCTCAGGCCGAAAATCTTGATGCCATTCTTGTCTCTTCACCCCCAACCCAAACTCAATGAAATCCTGAATTCTGGTATCTCTGTCTTCAAAATATATCCAGGATCAAGCCACTTTCCACATCTTCACTGCTCTATCCTCCACCAAGCTGCTGTCATCTCCTTGTTGGCTGGGCTTCTCTGGGAAACCACCTGGCAGGGACCAGTGTGCCCTTGAGCCTGGTTGTATCTGAAGAGCTCATTCTAGGAAGGGAGTACACACATGGTACAGAAAAGCCCTGTCTCAGCAGGGAGCACTGCTGCATTTGGCAATAATTTAAGGGAGGATGGTCACATGTATGGCACAAGTGCAGTAACAGGAGTGATCCATCTCCTAGAAAAGGGACCCTGAACAATGGTTCTGTCCACCAAGCTTGAGACTTTGTTTCCTTTGGGTTCCCTGGGAAAGGAAACTCTAGGGATTCCCATTCCTGGGTTTGCAGAAAACATCTCTATTAAAAGCATGGCCAGAGGGGAGCAGAGCCCCACCCTGCATGTTGTGAGTCCAGGGGCAGGTCAACAGCTGGCTTTCTTCCAATCTCAGCCTGTGGGGTCTAAATACAGCACGTGCACATTTGTTGTTTTCATACTTAGAATGAATTGGCTCTGACTGTACTTCCTGCTTGATCACAGTTGAGGACTAAGAGGCAGGGGGGCTGCTGTCCATCCGGGCACCTGAGAAGAGTTCTCTCTCTCCTTTCTCCACAGCTGCAGGGTACCTGTGTCCTGCCCACCAGGGGACAGATTGTGCATTGCTGGCTCCTCCACAAATCACCTGGTCAGACTGGATGTGCTTTGTTTCCATGGGACTAAAAGGTCCAGATGTATCCTGGGTGAACACATGGCTTTTTTGTGATGGTGGAAAGGCCTTTAATCCATTTTCTGGTAAACATACCTGCAGGTGGCATATGGTATCACATGAGAAAAACAAGCTGTTTTTTGGTTCCTTCTGATAATTTGTTCTGGGCAAACTACCCTGTTTTTCCTGCGTCCAGTACTTTTGCAATCATGTTGATTTCATCCTTTGTTTATTATTTTCTCTGGTTCCTGAGACTGGGAAGATAGTCCTGTTTTAGGAGAGGACATTCACTCACCGGAATCTGTACTTTGTTTTGGCTACTTTTATTGCCTGAGATACTAGTTAGTGAGGGAGCACATGAGAAATACTGTAAGCTCTTTGGAGAGGAAAATAGAGCTCCTGCATTAACCAGCAGGAAGCCACAGAGCCTAGCAGAGAAAGTCTGCAATTGTGGTGTCATGGTGAGCTGAATTAGCAGCTTTTTAAATTGCTTCTGAAAAGCAAATACACTGTTGATAGAAAGATTGGCTAACCCCTCAGCTGACTGTAGAGGCCTACATTTTTCCCTTTCCTGTGCAACTTGCTAGTGTTTTTTTCTTAGCTGTGATATTCAGAAGTTAGTTTTGATAATGTCTATTTCAAAGGTGGTCTCATCTAGATAGGCCTTAAATCGTATTTTAACAATTGCAAAAAAAAAAAGAACATCCTAAACATGAAAAAACTATGAAGCAGAACCAGCAAGTACTTTCAGAGGGGGTCCTGATCTGATGGTTTGCCGTGTGCAGGGCCCTATCCTGCTCCTAACCTGGCAGGTGTTTCTCAGGCTGGAATGCCAACTGTTCCAATCTGGGCTCAGCCTCCAGGGCCCCTTCCAGGGCTCTATACCAGCTCTATCCTCTGTGGGCCCCCTGGCCCTCCTGGGTATCTAGTTTGCTTCTCCAATTGAGGATAACTCTGAACACCTCCTATTGAGGTGAACCGTGGCTCTTTGTCCCTCCAGGAGTGAGCACTAGCCTGGCACAATTACTGCTGAACAATGGATTGGCAGTTGTCCTAGACCTGAGCTTGTAAATATGTGCTGGGGAGTAGAACGACCTGGGAAGGCTGTTTGATTTGTTTTCTTCCCTCTCTTAGGTACTACTGCCGTCCCATCCGAGCCCCTGCGTGGAAGATTCCTATGGTCCTCTGAGATGCTGATCCTATTGCTCATCATCCAGGCTGCTCACAGACTCCCATCAGTGATTCTTCCCCTGTGCCCTTTGGCTACCTTTGTCCTCAGGCCCCACACTAGTCTGAAATGCACTGAAATGAAGGAGTCACTTTGGGATCTAGAGCAGCAGGCTGTGGCTCAGCTTTGGCTCTGTTGCCAAATCTGGCCACATATATTGTAGGATAAAAGTTTCAGAGGTTAGAGCTGGGAGTCAAGGTTGACACATAAAAGCAAAAAGAAGTCTTGGTCCTAACTCCTTCAGTTGAATAGAGCACGCCTTTATTGAGTACCTAGGAAACTAGAAAGGAAAGGAGCACAGAGATTATAGATACAATAGGGGATCTCCCTGGGGCATCTCTGCATGTCTCTGCGACAATGGAGCTAGGTCTGGGAAATCCTGGCATGAAGTTCACCCTGAACGGTGGGTCCACACAGCATGGCTGCTCCCAAGCTCTGCTCTTTATGGGGGCCAGTAAGGAGCCATTGCATGGAACAGAGCTGGAATGAATGTCTCTTATATTTGGAGGATTTTATAGTTCTTCTCTTTAAATCTGCTATCCACAGGCCCCAGTGGGAAAAGAATTTGGGCTTCAACTTGCTCTGTTCTGGACAAACACTTCACATGACTGATGTAAACTGTTGCATAGTTTTGCAAAGCCTTTCCTATTCTTTCCAGAAATTCCCCATCAGCTGATGAATCCAAATTGTTCTGGCCCCAGGGAATTTAAAGCCCTTTCTCCTCATTGTGCCCCTTTGATAGGAAGTGTAGAGAGTGGAGGAAAAAGCCCAGAAAGGGCAGGAGGCACCCATCCATGGGGCAGTGGGGATGAGGACTGAACATTGCCTTCTTGAGCCACTGCCTGAGCCCTGGACTCCACTGCACATGGGCTGGCATCCTTCCAATGTCATGTGGACCACCTCCTCTCTGTGATCAAAGTGCCATGTTACCCGCAGTAAAGCTCCTTATAAGAATTCCTTCAGGTCTCATAGAGGTAGTTAAAAGCCAGGGCTGCAGAGAAAGGATGGGATGCTCATGGTCTTATTCCCGGTCTGACCTCTGCTGCCAGGGTGCTAGGCTATGCAATGCTCCTTGAGTGGCATTGAGGCTTGGAGGCCAGGGATGCCATGGGGAAGTGACGGCCAGAAGCAGGGCACATCCCATATCTACTGGCATCTCCAGCTTTTCCCAGCAGAGTCCTGAGCAGCAGCACGAGGTGAAGGCAGACAGGGATCTCATGGTTCATGTGGATGAGGAGGTCAGGGGCTTGTGGCCATGCAGAAACTCTGGGCCAGGCACTTGGAAAGCAGATAGAGCATACATCCCATGGGCTCAATCAGGTACTGCTCTCCTGAGCAAGACAGGTGTAGCATGAATAGGACTGGCCACACCATCCAGCCACATAATGTGGCCAGTGCCCCAACTCCAGGGCTGCTTACTGCACAGGCAAGCCTCACACACATAGACCCCACCGAGCAAATTCGTGGCTCCGCAGTCCTGGCTCTGGGCCCTGTGAGTGCTCAGAGAGCCAGGGACATGTGACTCATGGTACTTAGGCAGGTAGACATGTAGAAACACAGGTGCTAGATTCTTCAGCAGGTGGCTCTTGATCAGTGTGACCAATCAGGGCCTGGCCACCCACACTCAGTGTGCATTGGCTGTGGGAGGCTTCCGGAGAGGCTGGCACTGGCTGGCTACTTGGTCTCTACCAGCTGCTCCAGACGCTGCAGCATCGTCAGACGCAGGGCTTGGAACCTAGATGAAGACACAGCCAAGAGGACTCACTGACACTGGAACACACAGGGACAGGGGAACAGAGTGAGGGACTGCACAGATGACTGGGCCAGGAGACCCAAGGCTGATTAGTGGCTACCATCTCTTCTCCACCAAGGAGAGGGAAGAGCCAGGCCCACACCCTGTAAGGCCAGTGGCTTAGAGGAACAGTCAGACAGGGCTGCAGACCCCGCCAAGCTTCAAAAGCAGAATGTGCTGTTTCTATCTAAAGATTCTCCAGTATAGAAAGGAGCATGCTGGAGAGGACAGGGTGGCAGAGCAGGGATTGGGAAGCCTGAATTTAGGCCCAGGCTCATCAGTGACCCAGGCTGCAACCTTCCTCGCCTCAGGCCTCGGTTTCCTCTCTGTGCCCTGAATAGACTGGCCAGGTGACCCCCCAGGTCCCCTTCCAGCTCCCAGACCCGACAGCAATACAGCAGACTGCATGGTGGACTGTCCCCTCTGATTGGGGGTCTCTGCTGACTTCCCAAATGGGACCTCACTGCACAGAGGTGAGGGGTGGGGTTGGGGGCTTAGGGCAGGGCTGTGGCTTTTCAAAACTCATTCAGCCAAAAACTGGAATCCAAACCAGTCCGCCTACTACAGGCCCTCTCACCGTGAGCAGACTGCCTCCTTCCCTTCCTTAAGGGGGACTCCAACCCTGGCCCTGACTGAGTGCCCCATGTGCTCTCCCTGCCCCATCCTTCACTCTGCAAAAGGACAGAGCAGTCACTGGCCAGTGCAACTTGGCTAGCCTCACCCAGCTGGGCTTTGATTTAGCTTCCCCAGGAGCCAGCAGGTGACACCTGCTCATGCTCACCTTTCCATCTAACAGGTCGGGTCCCTTGCACCTAAAAGCATCAGCTGATACAGAAAGTTCCAATGGCCACTGTTTTTTGGCAGGCTCAGAATTCCCTCTAGCACAAAAGGCCCAGACCAGGCTGAATGTGCCCTGAGCAGACCCTCTCCTCAGTCACTCTTCCAGGGCTCTATTATCAGTAGAACTTTTTACCCTGGTCCAGCACCCACCCGCACTCCTGTCTGACTCTCCTGCTCAGTTTCAGCAGCTGCGCCCTTCCCATGCTGGTGAGGTGCTGAAGCCAGATGGGTGGTTTGCACTGTGTCCTGCCATGTTCACAGGCTGTCACCCCAGCTTGATGTCAATAGTGAGCAGGGGGCCAGAGGGCGGTGCTGGGTAGCCAGGGTCCGCAGGTCTCCCTGAGTCAAGCAAGTGCACCTGATGCCCCCAGAAGGGACAGCTCTCCCAGCCCCGGCCTGGGTGCTCTGCCCCCTGAACACTTGCCCTGATGTTCAGCACCCACGACTGGCTCTTTATGTGCTGCTTACTTCATGGTCAGTTTGATTATTTCTCTTTCCTCCTCTTCTTTTAATTTTTCAACAAAACTGTCCAGCACCGGCATTTCAAATTTAATGTACTGAGCGACCTAGAAAATCCAAGAACATTTTAATGTGCTTTAAATTAGATGCCAAAAATGTGTTTTCTTTTCCTCATGGCTTCCACAGCAGCCGACTCAGCAATGTTTTAGAGCTGAGGAAGTGGCTGCCCTGCTCCTCACCCACCCCCAACAACCTGTCTGTACTAGGATGGAGGACAGAGAAGCCCATTCTTACCTCACAGGCAATAAATATCCCTGGGAGGAAAGATTAAGTTGAATATTAGGAAATGTATTCAATAGAAAGTAGAACCACACTGGGTGTTCTCCGGGGTGGGGGTGTGGAGTGCTGGGAACACCATTGTTTCTGACAGTGGAATGAAGCCGCACCAATCTGTGAGTGGTGTGAGGGATACAGGCAGAGTAACTAGTCTTCACCTTGGATCCAAACCTTACTGGTTTTTTCTGTGCAAGGGAGCTCAGCAACATGCTCCTTCCTAGCCTAGGACTCAGCTGTGGTAAGACTTAGCCACCTGTTCCCTTCCACTGGCCCTGTGGCAGGGGCCCTAGTTAAGGAGCCCTTGTATGGGTCTTTGATGTAATGACAACTAAACACACTCTAACAAAGGAAAAGTTTCTACCTGCCTGAGGGGAAAGGCAGAGGCAAAGGTTTTTTATGACCCAGTTTCCTTCCTTCTCTAGGACAGCTGATAGAGCTGGTGGCCACTGGCAGGAGGAGGGAAGGCTGGAGCCATCACTATGCTGGGCTTGGGGCCCTTTAGGACAGCTGTGTGAGAGGTTGCTCAAGAGGGCTCTAGCCAAGGTCATCTTCAGAGCCCTTGGGAGACCCCCATGCTATCGTCTAGCCCCTTCCTCAGGAGCAGGCCTCCCTGAGCCTCAGCCCTGACTCACATCATGGGGAACTTCCTCGCCCAGGTCTGCTTCCATCAGGAATATCCTGGCGATCTTCTCACATGGCCCATGAAGGATTCTGGAAATCAGTGGGTACTCGCAGTCTTTTAATTTTGTTCGCTCTGAAAAAGAAGGCAATTTACAAAATTCATGGGGCATTAGGATTGCCCCTCTTCATTGCAGGATTGGAATGTGGCAAAAGATGGATGTCCAGGGGGCCTGGGAACCTTCTCTAGACCCCAAAGAGAAGGTTGCTCTGAATGATGCATAATGGTGGCATTCAGCAAAGACAGGTCAGAGAGGAACAGGAGCCCAGAGAGTAGGAGAGAGGGGACAGGGGACATGGGGAGGCCCGGCTGCTCAGTTACCATGGGGCAGAACCCTGCACAGAATGACATGTAGGTTCTGTACCAGTTCTTAGGGGGCGAGGGGCTTCAGCTCCAGCTCACAGAACCTGACGTGCACCCCTACCCCTCCCAACAGAGTGAGGTTGAAGACAGTGGCTTCCCTTGTGGTTTTGGTGGGATTCTGAAAGGGGCAGTGAGTGTGCCTGGGTTTGGGCCTGGCAGAGACATTCATGGAGGCCCACTGCACAAGCCAGCATGGCCCTCAGAGAAGGAGCATGGTCCATGAGCTTGCCAAACGCACAGAGATTTTTGTTTTTCTGATCTCAAAGCACAGGCAGACACTTACCCCCAGACTCGTGAACAATGTAGAGTGCAAACTCACTGGGGCCATTTTCCACCTGTGCAGGCAGTGACAGGAAGTCAGAGCAGGGCTTGATGAGACAGGACAGAGAGCGATCCCTGGCAGTAACCACACCCCCAGTGCCACACACGCACACATAAGTCCCCAAGGATCCTTCCCTCTCTTTGCTTAAAATCCCAGAGACGTTGCATTAGCAGAGGGCTAATAGACCTTCTACCCAGGAACCTCAGGCAGTGTCCCCAGCCTTTGCCGGCCCCCTCTCTCCCTCTCCCAGCAAGACAGCAAACCACCAGCATCCCAAGTCAAGGCAGCACATGGCCAGACTTACTCGGAACTTGTTCAGCAGCAGGGTGAGCACGTGCAGGGTTGTCATGGTGCTGTTGACTCTCACATTGGTCACAGACCCGTAGGCAGGAGTAAACACCGAGGTCTGTAGAGGGAGGTGGGCAGTTCAGGGTGGGGCCAGAGGGACATGGAGCTGACACCACACGGGGGCTGGGCACTGTCAGCCAAAGGGCCCGGGGTAACAGGTGAACCTCGTCTCTGGGCTCTGTCCAGTCACAGATCCACACAGAGCTGTGCCCACATCTGGTGCACTTGGGGAAGCTGTAGCAATTCCTGTCTTACAGAGGCCTGTGAGAAAGATGCCTCCAAAGCCACCAGGGCTAGCTCTCTGATCCTAGCAGCCAGTCCCATGGAAGTACTTCACAGTGGGTGGGGGGACCAGTCTCCTCACTCTTTCTTTGGGTCAAATTGTCAGAGGTCTGTTGATTCTAAGACCAAATGTTCTGGAATCTGTCCGCTCCTCCCCATTCTCCCAGAGGCAGAGGCTCAGTTTGTACTGCATCAATGTCTCACTTCTCCCCTTCCAATCTCAGTGCTTTCTGTCCATCCTCCACACTGCTGACCAAATGAACAACCTTTCAAAAACCCTGCAGCTCAAAGTGCATTCTGGATCAGCTGCATTAGCATAGAGTCTTGGCTCCCAGCCCCAGATTCCTGAATCAGAATCTGCATTTTGAGGAAACCACCAGGTGATGCTCTCCATAGAGTACAATTTGAGAAGAACTGCCTTTTGGCAATAGTTCTAGTTAAAAGGATCTGAAGGTTTCTCATAACCTAAATAATACCATTTGGAGCTCCTCTCACTGTTTGCATGTGTAATACAATGATTCTCTCCCCAGTGCCCTGTGGTCCCCTCACATAAGCTCTTCACAGTTTGAGGGGCGCATTTATTCCTGCAGATATCTTGCCTTTGCCTGTGGGACACCATATATACAGTCAACTAGGGCATCACCTGGTTTAATATGTTCTCAGTGAGTAGCCAGGTTATAGACCTGCTACGCATTTTACCTAAAATCTTTGATTTAATCCTTATTACAGCTTTTTAAAGTACCCATCACTAGTCTTCCTTTTAAGAAAGGACACAGAGTCTTGGAGAGATCAAGTAGCTTATCATGGTCACCTATCTAGAGAGGGCAGAGCCATTGGAAACCCCATGCTTTACCCCCATGGCACTGGGGGCTCCCTGTGAGTCTCACCCCCTAAAGTGAGCTCTTCCTTGCTTTCTAAAACCAAATTCAAATGTACACATTCCTCCTCTGTGGTCCTATCTCTGCTTTCTCCGGGATGTAACCAGGGCACAGGTATATTAAAGACTTGCTCAGTTTCCCAAGTACCGGAGTCAGACTCAAATCCAGGCCTGCCTCCTTCAAAGGTGACATGCAGAGTGATTCTGGGTTATACAGAAAGCCAGACTAGGCTTCCAGTCCCTAAGAAATATGGAATAGAGGAGGCAGGCTATTTCAAGAAGAAAGGTCTTGTCAACAAGACATTATTAGTGTTTCTTCTGCCTGAAGTCTTTTCTCAAGATGATACTGACCAAGTAGGAACAAAGATCCCAAGGGCTTGCAACTAACCACAGTGGTTTCTCTCTGATAGAACACATTTGAATCAAACAGCCCAGGACAAAGCAAAGGGACAGGTACCAAGTATTACTGAGTGTGGAAATCACACCAACACTACTGTGAATCAGAATAGTTTTGGAAAATGATTGAGTGAAGTAATAGTGTGCAGTTCTAAGAAATAAAATCCAGAATAACAACCTCAGGAAGTCAATTCTAGGTATTTCTTTTTTTAAATTGTTGCCTGTGATTCAAGTACTTTGTCTCCTGATTTCTAAGGACACTGATTCTGAATGGATTGCAATTAAGGGAGAGAAAAGGAGCCCCTTACTCAGCCAGGAGATGGGAATCAACTGTCCAACATGCCCAAGATACTAGCTCACATCCTGGAAGTTAGTTTGCCTGGAAAAATGAACCCACCTTCTGTAGGTAAATCTGTTACTGGGAGAAAGACCTGCCCTGACTGGATTACAGGCTAGTGGATTGAGTGTCAAGTTGGCTAAGGAGTCCTTCAATGAAAAAAAAAAAAAAAAAAAAGGAGTCCTTCAATGGACACGAAAAGCTGTGACAAAAGCCCTCACTTTCATTTTTATTCATTTCAAAGGCTCAGACATCTCCATGTTCTCTGGGACATTTGCAATGACTAACATAAGGGTTAATGCACCAGACGCACTTCTTAGAGATGAATGATTCCCTTAGAGGAGAGGGTGAATGTACTGGAGATAAACTCCACTATATGGCATCTTGAGTCATGGATCAAAAGCTTCCTTTTTTAGGAATGTAGAAATCCAAAGAGCTCAAACCCATGCAAATATTCTTTTAAAATTTTTGAATAATCCCTCAAAATAGCATATAAATATCTAATATGCTTACTTAACACTTTACAGACTAAATCTGTTTGAATAAGATTTAAAGAATACCCAAGTCAGATTGTAGGTCCTTTGGCTAATCTAAACCATTCTTAATCTCTGCTTAACTTCAACCCTGCCTCCCCTGCACCCTCTCAGGAAACTACTCTCAAATAGTCCTGGGTTTCCCTGCACTTAGCAAAGAAAACCTAGTGTCACCCATGAGCACTCATTGCGAACCCAGCACAGATTGGAAGCTGGAAGCAGAAGCGGGCCAGGGGGCGGGGGGTGTCCCGTGAATAAGGCAGGGTCCCTTCAGCTTGCCTTGCTGAATTCTTTACCCCAAAGTCCAGGGTGCTCTCAGAGCACTTGATTGAAAGGCCTCTGGCAGGCCTAACCTGTACAACTGTTCTTCAGGTCTGACCCTGAGACCTGCCTCTGCCAGGCCCCCTCCCTCACCCCTCCCCTTCCCCTTTCCCATCACCCCTCCTATGAGTCATTGCCTATCAAGGCAGGCAGCTGCTTCAGCTGGAAACCTCTGTTTCCATTTCCCATCGGTACAGGATGTGGCCCTGTTATAGGACACTCCATCCAAGGCCTCACCCAAGCTGCCAATCATGCCATTTATAGAAACAATTAACTTCTCTTTCTACAGTTTGGTTTGTTTGGGGACTGATGTCATCTGGGGAAGGAGATCTTTTCCTAAGGTCAGTACAATACATACTCGGACAAAAGGCTAAGTGCTGGGAACCAGGGGCAGGGCAGGTTCTCTGGGACACAGAAACACATGCCCCTGGACACACCTCCACCTAGCAGGACTTAATCTACCCAGGGAGAATGCCAGCAGCACGTCATGTTCCCATGAAACTATCAGTCGAGCTCAAAGAAAAATGTCTCATGAGACATAAACTTGGCATGACTTTCTAAAAATCCATGTAACTTATATAAATGGATTGACAGTGAGTATGTGGTAAAAAGAAAAAAAATACAGGCTTTGGGTTCACCAGCTGGAATGTGTTGTTTTTTTTTTTTTTAATGTAATTTTGATGGGACTTTGGACAAGCTATTTTTCCTCCTGAGCCCGTTTATCCATGAGGACACAGATGTGACCCCGCCAGTACATGGGGCCATGATGAGGGTGAGCTCTGACAACACTATCGTGAGGCCTGCTTGGGGCTGGTTGCCTGTGGCCTCAGCTTCAAGGCCTATGGGAGAGGCTAGGCTGGGACATCACCTTGTGGTTGTAAAAGTGTCCATTGATAGAGAACCGATGTCGCCGGATCCTCTGGGCCTCGCCAGGTGTGCGGGACCGGGGCCTCCTCTGGATCACACAGGCTGCATCACTCTTGGTCCGCATAAGCTGTGGGGTCTCTTCATCTTCCTCCAGGGGCTCTGTAGTGAGGGACAGAGGAGAAGGTTAGTCCTGGATGGAGCCAAGGTACCAGAGAATTGCTGTGCTCCAGTGGTCATGCAGTGTGTGGGGCTTTGTTCCCGGGAGATCTGTGGTCATGCCATGCTGCAGCAGACAGTAATGTGAGTGCTGTCTCTGTGACGGAGCCTGGGGTCCAGCTTGGGTGATGCTTGCTTCTCAGACAGGAAAGGTGACCCCCAGACAGATAAGCTGTATCACCATGCCGTATGGTTTTTGGCAGCCACACACCCTGTCCTCTGAGCCCCCATTGAATGCAAGGGGAGTACACAAAGAGGACAGATGAGCAGTCTGGCTCCCAGTGTGGGAGGAAGACATCCTAGAGGCCCACGGGACCAGGAGAGGGCCATGCCGGCTGCTGCTATCCTCACCTTTCTCTAAGGCAGGGACTCAGACAAATTACGTCAAACAATGTCACCCTGCAAGCCACTACTTCCTTTTCTATAGCTGAGAAGCTGATGGGAATGCCTTGTACTGAGGAGGTATTTAGCAAGTGTTGCTCCTGAAGACAAATAAAGCCACTCTGTGCTCCTCCAAATTGCTGGTCTTTTTTTTTTTTTTCTTAGAAAGGGAGAGAGAGAGGGAGAGAGACAGAGACAGGAACAGAGACAGAAAGAGACAAACAGAGAGAAGGCAGGAGAGGGGAAGAGGGAGGAGAGAGAAAAAATCCCAAACAGGCTCTGCGCCCAGCATGGAGTCCAACTCAGGGCTAAATCTTACAACCCTGAGATCATGACCCAAGCCAAAATCAAGAGCTGGGCACTTTAACCAACTGTGTCACCCAGGTGTTCCAACACAAAGCTGTTTTTCAGAGATGGTGGTCATGAGCCGAGCCCCTCCTCTCCTACTTCTGTTGAGTGAGACAGGACCAGGTAGTTTGAAGCCTCACTTACCTGAGCTCTCTCTGGAACTCTCAGCCCTGTGTGCTGTCTGTGAGCTTGGCTCCTGGGCAGTGACCCTGCCATCCTGAAGGAGTGGCTCCTTTCTGAAAAGACAGTCATGGTGCTCAGAGAGATGTTCATAGAAAAAAGTAGCTCATATCACAGAGAAGAAGCTGTCTTTTCAGTTCTAACAAATTTATAAAAACAAATTCTTACATGAAATAAAAGAGCAGTAGGAGATTAAATTTGTGTGAGTTTTTAAGATAGAACAGGAGATGCCAAGAAATGCTTATTTTGCCCGGGATACTGGGAAGCCCCCTGGCTACAGCTCCTTTCCTTGCAGATAAGGTCACTCCTGTGAATGTATGAGAAACAACTGGGGGTGATAGTCTGGAAAATTCTCCAAGAGTGAGATGACTTGGTCAGCATCTAGAAAGACCAGTGTTGGCAGGTGGAGCCATGGCCTCAGGCAGTCACAGGGTGACAGGGTAAGGCTAGCTTGTGCTCTCCAGTGCCCCATTTGGGAATGGGACTTTTGCCCTGAGACTGAGGACACCACCCCATGGACATTCCAAACAGTAAGCTCGGGTTGCACAGGTGTCAGGGAGGCCACCTGGCCCTGCCTCAGCCATCCCAGCACTCACAGGTGGCAGCCGGGCTGTCCGGGTGTCCAGGAGCCTGAGGAGAGGTGGACTCGCTCCCGGTCATCCTGTATCTGGAGCCGGATAGGCCGCCTCAGTCCCCAGGCAATGTTGAGAAGCCCCTCGATGACCAAAGCTCCTTCTTCCTGTGGGGAACCCACACAGGTTAGCCTCTTTTCCCAGAGCAACTCTCCTCAGGGGTCACTCCCCACCCTCCCTGAGCCTCTGTAAGGCCCAGACCTTCATCCATGGAACTCCCTGAACACTCTCACCCCCAAACATGCCCTCTCCTCCTTGGGGTCCTGTCCTGCCCTGAGAAGGCACACAAGCCTCTACATGCTCCAAGGTATGAGGCCATGGGGCTGACTAGAGGAAGCCTGAGGCATGCCCTTCCACTGTTCAGTTCATGTCTGGCCAGGGCATGGCCTGGGATGGAGCAGCTGAGTCAGGCGTCCCACAGGAACCCAGCTGCTATCCAGCAAGCACGTCTACACGGGGAGGGAAGAAACATGTCCCAGAGAAGCATGGCCATGTTAACACTCGTGTCATGCAGGGTGCCCTCCCACATCCCTCTCCCCACTGCACCTGGGTAGGGGGTCCTGTGGTCACCAGGAACATGCTATGGGCACTGGATTCCATGCCCACCAGAGCAGGGGTGACTGCTCCTTGGAGCTGTGTCTCAGTCTTGCCCTTTTCCCCACACTGCTCCCAATTGCTGCAGTAACCATTCAAGTGGGCTGGACCCGCCCCAAGCTTTCTAAGCTGCCCTCTTTCCTGAGGGCCTGTGTTGCTCTTCTCAGCACCTGGACACTGCCAGCCCCCATGTTCCACTACTGGCACAAATACCCAGAATATCTACAGCAGCTTTCATTCTGCATCCCCAGCCAGCCTTGGTTTCTCCCCCAGGGTCTGCGAATGGCATAGCTATTGCCCTCCTGCCAAATCCTGAGGTCCTAATTGACAGAACCTTCCAGAGGTACGCTCAGCCAGTTTCCCCTCACTCCCCTTGGGTCTTTAATTCTGTTTCTGACCTCTTTCAGGCTCCTATCTTTGTGTGACCACCTCTACGCTCTCTGTGCCTGGACAAATTGTCCCCAGGCGTGTGCCTGGCCAGGCTGCTTTCAGAGCATCTGCCTAAAATCTTCTCAGCCTCACCTCCCCCAGAGCTGTGGTCCTCCCAGCTACCTGCCCCTAAACTGCTTTGATACTAGCCTTTTGACAATGAATGCTAAACACCATTCTCCCACTGCTATCTCAAATACCACTTTAGATTCACAAATTCCATTTCTTTCTCCTTATTGGCATTGAAAGCCTTCTGAGGATAAGGGACCTCATGGAAACATCCTTGTAACCCTGGAGGGGCTTACACAGGTGTCCTGCAGAGTTGATTTCATGGTAAGTTAGTAATTGCTTAAAACACCCTGCTATCCACAGAGAAAATAGTTCTACTGTGTTCAAGGTTATCAAAATACACATAGCTTTCTGGAATGACCTTGCACTATTTGTTAAAAAAGAAAACAACAGCAACAGTCAAAACAGAGCAATTTTTGCTAATCACTGATGTTACACAGTCATAGACATGTGACTAACACTCCCTGCAAAGGAAAGACTGGATTGACTGACTGGAGTTAAAGGGGGTAGGAAGAAACCCCAAAGTGCGGTTCGGTTCTGTTTCCCGTCTTGGCCTCAGATGCCAGTCATATGTCAACAGTCTGCTGGGAGAACTACCCCCCTCCGCCCACCCGAAACACCTCAGCATGTTCATTCACGGAGCCCCGCTGCCTGCCAGCCCCACATTGGACCCTGTGCAGGGAGATCAAGCAGCCATGGTTCTGTGTCTGAGAGTCAGGAGATCATCTAGTGCTGTGAGGGGCAGGAAAAGAGACCACAGCTGGAGCACGGCGCAGTGGGGCCAGACACACTGAGGCAGGTTCATTCAAAAAATAGGAAGACTCCATGAAGGAGGCAGGAGGAATTGCTCTGGGACTGGAGCAAGGGGCTGAAGCAGACCTGCTGCCTCTGAGTTCAGGGATCAGCTCTGCTGGGGGGACTGCTGGCCTGATGTCACTCAGGCCCAGTGTCCCTGCAGAGGCAGCATATGTGCCTCCGAGCTGCCCTCTGACCACTGTTCCACTGTCCCTCAGCCTGGACCCATCAGGATGGAGGGAGAGCCCTGTCAGGCTGCAGCTGTCTCTAGTCAAATCAGAAGAAACTGAGGGCAGAGCAGAAGGACGTCCAGGCTACTGGGCAGCCCTCACCATACAGGTGGAGGAAGCACATGCAGGCAGAGGCAGGACTTGAATGTGGGTCCCACGGCCTCACATTTCCAGAAGTCAGGAAGTCATTCTGGGCCCTTTGATTCTGGCTACCAGTGACTACGTCCCTCCTTGTTGGAGCCCCTGACCTCCCCCTTGGCCTGAGGTGACAGGAGGGGTGTCACGCCTGCCCTGTAGAGTAAACATCCCCAGAGCCTCCCACAGCTCCAGGCTGGCAGCTGGGCCAAACCCCGCCCGCCAAACTGTTTTCCTCTGAGAGCCTTCCTGTTCACTGCTATTTTTGGCCCTCGTGACAGTAACTGATGGCTGGTGGGAAAGCATAAAAGAAGCTGCCAAGCCTCTAAGTTCGTCAGACAGCACGGGGAGGCTTGCAGTCCGGACAGTGGCCTGTCATCCCCACCAGAGTGCTCACTAGCCACCTCCCAGCCATATCCACGCTGGATGCGGGGCTCCACCTGCTGGACTCCGCACCCTCCACCCTGAGCTTTCTGGGTCTTCCCAAGGACTGTCTTTGCTCATCCAGCAGCCGTGTGATCCCCAGGTGAGAGAGAACAGCCTTCCTCTGGTTAGAGATCCAACAGAAAGGTTCTGTTTATCTTCGAGGGTGGGGGCATACTGGGCCTCAGTGGGGTTAGAGAGCAGGGTGTGTGGTTGACAGCAGTGCTAGTAGCAGCTGAGGGCTTTGTATTCGTGGAGGAATTTCACGTGAGTTGTATTTGATGCATTTCCTACAACACCCTTTCCAGTGGGCACTTAGAACCCCATTTTATGGATGGGTCAGGGGAGGCTTAGAGAGGTGACCTTGCCAAAGGTCTGCAGGTCAGATGCCCAGCAGAGGCTGCCTTTACAGCCAGGTTCTCTCCGACTCTGGAGAGAACTGTTGGACCGGGTTCTCTTCTTTATACAGGCTCTTCAATAACAGTGAGGATAGACTCTTGAGCACAAGGCTTTCAGTGTTAGCAGGAAGGAAGGGCCCAGGAGTCTAGGACTGGGCTGGGGTCTGCAGACTTCACTCTACTCTCAGGCCCTCGACTCACCTAAGCAGCCTCAGATGAGAGAGGGAACACAGGAGGAGTGACAGAATGGCAGACCCTCATCCCTGGTCCTCTTGTTGATCGCCAGGTTGCTGCTCCCCCCCTTGTTGACGGCCATGAGGTCCCGGCTACTGCTTCCTGTGGCCCATCTGCCCACAATTCAGGAGACCTCGGAGGAGATGCTGCCTGGGGGCCCTGGGCAGGAGCCCCCAGCCTCCCCCAGCCTGGATGACTATGTGAAATCCATTTGTCAGCTGGCACAGCCCACTTCAGTGCTGGACATGGCCACAGCCAGGGCCCAGCCCAGCAGAGCCCTCTGGCCAGCCAAAGCCTTCAAGAAGAACTGCCCTACTGAGTCCCTGCAAGACATCACTACCCACTTCAGTGGTCAGCAACCTGCACCAACCAGGGATTGCACTGCTGACCCCCTGGACTGGCTCTTTGGGGATTCCCAAGAAAAGCAGCCAAGTAGGAGGAACCCACCAAGGACGATTGGCTCCTCTGCAGACCCCTGGGGTCCACACAGACAGATGGATGGTGGCAAGGCCCAAGGGACTCCCAGAGGGAGATTCTGTGATGCCAGCGTGCAGGAGCACTCTCTGGTCAGACCCTCAAGGGATTGGCATCAGGGCTCCTGGGCTTCCAGGCAATTCAGTGGGGCTGCAGCCTCTCCCCCGGCCCCTCGCCCCAGCAGCACCCTCAGAACTCTCTATTTGCACCTCCCGGTGATTCATGAACTCTGACCTCTCCCCAATAAAGCCTTCTGTACAGAGCACGCTGGTCTGTGTCACCTCCTCCCCCTCCTCCCCTGAGGTAGGCACCATCCCCGGCAGGTCTCTGAGATGGAAACACTTTTCTGCAGAGGCTGCCTGCCTGGGCATTTCATAGCAAGATCCCTCCTCTGAAGAGTGAGAACAGCCTATCTGGCATGATATGGTGTTACTGTTCCTTGCTGGCTGATCACCTTGGGCAAGTTACTTAACATTTCTGTTTGTTGGGTTTCTCATGGGTAAAATGGAGGTAATTAAACAGACCTGCTTTCTAAGGTTATTCTGATCAGTAAATGGGATAAAACCCACACGCATCATGGGGTGCATGTTATAAGCCCATACACATGCTTATACGCACATTTATATGGTTGCTTTACAGGCAGGGAGGGACATGACATTGGTGGCAAGTGAGAAGCAAAGCTCTCAGCCACACAGGGATTTCAGAGTGAGGCCCTGGGCACTCCTGAGTCAGCCTCCTGGCCTCCACTCTCAGAGCCTGTGCTTCATGCAGCCCAAGAGGAAACATAGGGTTTCCCCAAATGTACCTGCTAAGTTTGGGGGGGAACCTATTACTAGGGTACCAGGGGTATCTCAGTGGCTCCAACTCACAAGCCCTATTGTGTCATTGGGAGAGTTTTTTTCCCATGCTGAGGACCAAAACAGAACCTGCACCAGCTCAGCTTGCAGGGTGCCAAACCACTGGACCAGGTGGCCCTGTCCCCACCATCCCATCCCTTCCTCCATCCAAGGGGTGCTTCTCAGCTGTGGGCAAAGTGCGGGCTGTTCTCCAGCTGCCGTGCTCTCAGGCAAGTCCAGTGGCCAGGGCCTCACTTCCCATGTGCTAAGGTTTGGGCCAGCCCTGGGTTCTCCAACCCCAGGGCCTGGAGGTGTCTGGCAAGGAAGGAGATGAAGGTGAGGCATAGGGAAGAGACATGGTCTTCTTAGAGAGGCAGGTGAGACATCAGAGAATGCAAAAGAATCAGGCCTGAGGACCCATCACCATGTTTCCTGGGCCAGATCAGAGCTGGCTGACCCTGGTCAAGGTGGAAGGGACAGAGGAGAGAGGAGGAGGACAGAGCTGGGGCCCTGGCCAAGCTCACAGCCTGCTTCAGTTTCCTTCATCTCTTTGCTCTGTGAATTATCAAACTATTTTCTTCCTTTCTTCTTCCTTTCCTTCTTTATTTTTTCTATTTTAAAATTGCTTTGCACTTTAAAAATGTTGATCTGCCCTCTTATATGTGTGTCTTGTGGGAAGGCAGAATGTAAACCATACATTTAACATTTTCAGACAAGTAATTACTCACTTTCCTTATCTGGAAAATGGGGACATGCCCTTCACACCCTGCAGGGGTTGAGGAATGGGCACGTGGCCTTGGAGATGGAGTAGAGACACGGCATAGGAATGCCTATGTCTGCCACAACCTGCTGGGTCTCTGGTCTGCTCAAACCTGCTGGTCCCTGACCTTTGCTGGCAAATAAGTGTGGGGCAGCCTTTAGCCAGAATATCCTTAGAAGGTGGTGAGGAGAGCTGACCTGGGAGGGAGTGCTGGCTGGTGACCACATGGGCTGGGCTCGCCTCACTGTCGCCTCTTCTGTGAAGCTGTGTGAAACCAGGTCAGAAGGAGGCAACTAGGATGAGGTTGGCTAATTCCCCCCAAGCTCAATACCCACACGGCTGCATTTGGGAGGTCAGACAGGGCTCTGGACTCCTCTGCTAATATCCCCTGATGTGAAAGAAGCTAATGGCAACTTCAGAAGGTGGCAAAAACGAAAACAAACAAAACAAAACAAAACAGCACCTGAATAAAGGGCATGAAGAAGGGGCTTCTGGCATTATTCCAAGCTTCCCACGGGACGGTACAGCCTAGCAGAAAGTCCTCGTGATGGGGGTCCTGTAGAGCAGTCTCCTCCTCACTCACCACTGGAGTAGGGAAGCAACACAATGCCCTGACCAGGGGGCAGCCCGGGAAGCCCTTGGGAACTCTCAAGGGAACGTAGCCACTGTGGAATAGTCACCCAGGTGCCAGCAGTCTGTCAACTGCCTATCGTTCCTGCCTTCAGATGTTAAAAGAAGGGGGATCATTATAAGAGGGAAGGGTATCCTGACTTCCTCCACCCAGAGAGGAACAGAGGTGCAGGAGGCTGGGACCAAGGATGGGGACTGGGTGTGGTGCGCACTCTTGGCCACCAGGGGGAGGAGCGGAGGCCGGCTCCCCGAGTGGCCACACGCTGGCGCACCAGCCAAGGTCCTACTTTTCATCACAGTGATAAATTTACCCCCTGGTATTTCCGGGTGGACATTTTTCTCTCGAGAAGCCAGTCTCGTTAAAATGCTTTGCTATCTTCCAAAGGCACAGATGGCTCCAGGTTGCTCATGCTCTTCATTGTAATATAAGCAAAAGTATCCCAAAGGCAAAGGTCATGACAGAGGAAGCAGTGACTGGGCCTCCTCAGAAGAGGAAGCCCCGTGGGGTGCGGGGAATCCTTCACCCTCTGGAAGCTGGGGGAGAATTCACAGGAAATCCCTGGCCCCAGGGCATGGCCCCTGCTCCCTGACGCACTTCATCTCTCCATGTTCTATGGATCCCGGAAGAGATGGTGGAGAAGGTGTCCCCAAACCATAGTAGTCAGGCCACAGTTGCTCAGGGGGAGGCCCAGTGACAGCAGGGAGCAGGGTCTCTTCTGGATCCCCACATGGCTCTGTGAGGGCACAGCGGTGCTGAGCCCTTCAGCGCTGGAAGCCACCTCTACTTGGTGATTGAAGGTGACAAGCAGCTCCCTGCATCCCTGATGGCTGTCAGAGCTTAATGCTGTTGCTGTATTATAAACTTGTGTGCTTAGGCCTTGGAGCCACGCTGGCATCTTCCACTCACTGCAGTGTAGGAGAGACTTAAACTCTGAAAGCCTCAATCTCTTTGTCTGGAAAATGGCCATTTCGACATCACGAAGCTCCTATATTACAATAAATAATATAGGGGCAAAGTGCCTGGTGCCCGGCTACCCTGCCCTCAGGGCCTCCCGTGCCCAAGGAGAGGCCAGCCTGAACTGTGGGGTCTGGGGTCTGCATTCGGAGGAACTGCAGAGGCCTGAACACCTGGTGGTGGGTGGGTCACGGAGGTACTTGGTATCCAGGAATCGGTCATGCATCTCAGCGTCAGAACTCTGTGCTACCCAGGCCTACAATGTCTTTGTGGTGGCAGTCACCTCCTGAAGATGCCAAGTCCCTCAGGCTGGTGCCCCTTGGCTGTTAAGGCTGCAGTAGGTTCCTGAAAGGGGCTTTCTGGCTCCAGGGAGATGAAGTCAGATCCTTACGCCTTCTTCAGCTTAGAAACCAGAAAATCCCCATCTGTGGGTGTTAACTTCTTACCGCAGGGGGCTGTCAAGAATACCTCTTCTCCTTTCTGGAGTCTCTCACTTTGCCATAAGGACTGTCCCACCACATACAAACACAGGGGACATGGGTTTGGGGGCTTCCCAGCCCTACTCCCCATACAACTGTTCCTACAGAGGGGACTGTCTTGGGGAATCCCAAGGGCCAAAGCCAACTCTTAAGAGTAGCAGTTCTCAAACTTGGCCCTCATTACAACCCTATGGAGGGCTTGTTAAAACACAGTTGGGAACATAGTTTCTGATTCAGCAGGCCTGGGGGCAGGACGGCGATGAGAATTTGCATTTCTCCCCAGTTCCCAGGTGACCTTGAGGCTGCTGGTGCAGGGACCACAGGTTGAGAGCTGCCAAGTCTTAGGTCAGTCACTGAGGTGCTGAGGAACAGGGTCTAGGCAGAAGACCCCACCGCATGCCTCCAGCACCACCTAAGAGAGTCCAATTCCTCAACTCAGCAGTCAAAATTGCCCAGCTGGCACTCAGGACCAATCTCAACCTGCCCTAGGTCCGGGCCTGCTGGTTAATCACCCAATGGCTATGCTTAGGTGCCATGCTGTGCCTGTCTTGGGGACGTGGAACCAGCCCATCACTCAGGTAAGAAAAGTAACAGCGAAACCAGAGGTAGCAGGGCAGTGGCATCAGAACCCTGCCAGCAACAGTAAGTAGCAGGGCTGTAGCTGGCTGCTAAGCGGGCGTCAGAGAGCTGCTCTGAAGAAAGAAATGTGTGGCAGGGCAGGGGTGGTGGGGACAATTTGTTGGGGTTGGCCTATGGGCCTGAGAGGCCTGAGCAAGTCTGGGGGAGGTGGAGTACGAGGTGTGTGCTGTTCCAGGTCATCCTGGCAGCCCAGCGCAGCCTGGATCGCCAGTCAGCAGCATCCCCCGCATCCAGCCTCCTGAGCTGTGTGACTAGAGTCGGGCCTGGGCTTTGTTTTACCCACAGACATGTTTTGGTTAGCCACCATGGTGTTTCGAGGTTTGGGAAATTCCACATGAAATTCCAGATATCTAACTTCTTTTGAAAAATTAGAGAGTCAGGCTGTTTGGAGCCCAGGTTCCTGCACAGCAGGGATGGATTCCACCCAAAAGGCAGCAGCATCTGCAGACAGGACATGCTCTCCCACATCCTCTGCTCCCCAAGCCTGCCCTGCCTCTCACATCCTGACCTGCCTGCTCCTGTGAGCACCCTTTGGGGAGCTCCCTTCCATTTCAAGGCTTTATTCTGACTGGCAAACACAGACACTGCTTTCACTTCTCATTGCCCTGTGAACCTGAGCAGACCAGGACCTTGTGCTGAATTCCTTATTCATGCGGTGGGCTGGGCAGAGAGGGGACTAGGCTGTGCAGTCATAAAGATTTCAAGTTCCAATGTCCTGGCAGTTCACTTGGGCAAAAGTCCTAGGTGGAAGGAGAAGACCTGCAGGTGATTATTTCCACCTGCTCTGAATTCTTGCTGGGTTGGGGGTGGGGGGATGCTCTGACCCTCAGCACCCCTTTTAGGACCTCCAAGGAGACATCCTGGCTGCTGGTAACCTGGTCCCTAGTTCAGAAGATGAGTGACCTCATGATTTATCATCCAAACTGGGATATTTCTGAGTGAAGGGGATGGTCTGAATAGTGGCCCTGGAGTACTTAGCATGTATAAACCAGACCCATCTTCAGCAAACCAGGATAGACGGTGGCCTGTGAATAAAGAAGAGAAACAAGGCATACCTCTCGGTGTCTTAGCTGAAAGCTTCTGCCCTCATGGTAGCAGTTGTAAGTTTTTAGCAAGCTTAAGAGCTCCGACCTAAAAAGATAAAGACACACATAATCTTGGGCCATGGCAGGCCTTTTGAGCATAAGGATACATGTCCTACCAGCCACACATAATCAGTTTACAGCCTAGACTCTGCCATCAGACACATGCTTTTCAGTTTTCTAGAGGTTTCACATGTCAGCCCTTGTGGAAGGTTTAGGGATGGAAAGAGGAAGAAGAGAAACTCACAGATGGCCCACATAATTGTGCAAATTGTGTTTGTACACTTTCACTATCACAGATGAGTTCCTGACAGTCTCCCTGCCCTTTACTTCTAAGTCACTTCCTCAATAAATCCACTGAGATTGGATTATTAGCACTTTAAAGACTCTTGCTTTTTTCCCCCATCTTACTTCCTAGAAGGGCCTGGTGTAGCTGCTCTGGGGGCACCCTGAGGGGTGCTGTCTTTTCCTCATCCCGACTTTACAGACATCTGAACAAGAGATGAAGTTGACAGCTATGAGAGAAGATCCTGAAGGTCCGAGGGAGGCCACTCTGTCCAGATGCCTTCTTCCCAGAATAAACGGAGGCCATGGCAAAGAGAAGACAGTCCCTGCACCCAAGCGGGGTTTTGCAGGGAAGCATGGTCCAATAGATAAGAAATTTGAGCCACATGTGTAATTTTAAAACTTATAGCAGTCATCTTACATAGGAAAACAAAACAGGTGAGATTAGTTTTCATAATGCATTTTGTTTTATGGCACAATATATTTAAAATATTATCATGTCCACAGGTAATCAATATAAAAAATATTAATGAGACCTTGTTCATTATTTTATTTTGCAATACGTGTTTGCTACCTTCCTTTTATATTAACTACACCTCGGGTACCTGAGTGACTCAATCAATTAAGCATCTGCCTTCAGCTCATGTCATGATCCCAGGGTCTTGGGGTCTTGGGATCAAGCCCCAAATCGGGCTCCCTGCTCTGCTGGGAGTCTGCTCTTCCTCTCCCTCTGCCCCTTCGCACTGCTTGTGCTGTCTCTCTCTCTCTCTCTCTCTCTCTCTCTCTCAAAATAAATAAATTCTTCAAAATGTTTATATATTAACCACACTTCTCCAACCATAAGTCATGTGCTTGGCAGCCATAGGGACTCATGGCTCCCTTTCTAGACTGTGCTGCTCTAGAACCTCTTTAGGCAGGGCCTTCACTGGAGCCACCCAGGGTATAGAATGGCAAAACCTGCTGGTGGTGCTCTGGTGTGCTGCCCAATGTGGGGATGATGGCAACTGACAGGGGAAGTGGTTCACTTGTGATTCAATGAATATTATGGCATTAACAAAGCATGACTAATGTCGCATGTTTGTAGTGCTTGTAAGTATGTAAATGCTGAACATAAACATATATATATCCTAACAAGTTTATGTTCAGCATTTACATACTTACAAGTATACAAGTACGTAATCATGTTATGGTTATTATTATGACTTTTCCAAAGTTATGTTTAACATTATTCTTATTATAAAATTTAAACAAGGAAAATGATGGTATGGGCAGTACTGTGAACAGAATGCTGTCTGTTTTCTCAGGTCTCCACTAGGAGGTCCCAGGAAAGAGGTCAGCAAAAGGTAGGAGGCTGGCTTGTCCTCAAGGTGGCAGATAGTTGCTGCCCAAGTTTATAAAAGATTTGGATTCAGGACTCGAAAAGCAAGATAAAATAAAAAATATACTTTTCTTTAGTTCAGAAATAAGTTTGAAAAAGTATTCCAAACATTTTTATAGTAAAACAGAGTAAATAAATTAAAATATTAATAACAAATAGTAATTAAGAATTAAGAAAAATTAACAAAATAAATTTCAGCAAAGCTGAAAATCATTATGTCAATAAAATACTTTTCAGTAAAAACTCTAACCCTATTTTGAGGTTTTTCTTTTTTTCCCGAAACCCTGAACTGTTTAACACAATAAAAATGTTAGAATTGCTCTAGTTTTTTAATAAATTAAATGCCATCTGTGCACAGTCACAGCAGGCATTGCCATACTTTCCTGTCTTTGTGGGCCTGGGGAGGCAGGGGTCAAACCCACACTCCAAAGAGATCCTTGATCTCCAAGGAGACAGGCTTCAAAAAGAAGTGCCTCCATCACTGTCCCTGGGGCAGGCACATCGTCATATCCATGAAAGGTGTCCTGAAGCCCTCCACCAAAGTCTGTCCATGGCGGGGAGTGGCCACAAGAAGATCCCCTCCCTGTATACAAAGGCTTACTTCAGGATGGACTTGCTGTCACTGATGGGGACATGAGAACTGGGTGGACAATCTTCCTTCATCTTCCCTTCTTGCCTGCAGACTGGGAAGTTACCTGCTGGGAAGAGGAGGACGGATAGACAGACAGGTGAGCCTGGAGAAGCACTAGCCAGTGCAGTACCCAGAGCCCTGGTGTGCCCGCCTGTGGCTTCAGCCTTACCTGCTACCTCCCAACCCACCTACACCCCTTCTCCCTCCACTCCTTGGCAGAAGGTGGCCACAGCTGAAAGACCAGGCTCAGAGGAATTAATGGGCCCCATACCCACCTGGGGCAGTCAAGCTCCCCTGGAGGAAGGGAGAGGGTGAGAACTGAAGTGCCAACTGGTACCCAGTACCAGCCCTATCAGCCCCCCTCCCAGAATCTCATAAGCCCTGGAGATCTGGATCATGTAAATGTTTCAGACACAGGCTCTCTTCCCCCAGCCAGGAAACCCTGAATAATGGTTTCTGCCTCCCAACCCCCAAAGCACCCTGGGCCTTTTCTCCACCATTCCCACTGAGCCCAGGCTGGTGGCCCCATCAGTGCCTTTGGAGTCGGCACATCTGACTAGTGATGGGCTCCTAGTGATGGGCTTATTGGTACTGTGGTCACTATGTGCTGGAGACTGCATTGAGCATTCTCTCTGAATTATCTTATTACCTCTTAACAACAACAGCGCGAGGTAAGCACCATCCTAGTCCCATTTTATGGATGAGAAAACAGGGACAGAGGTTGAGTACTTTGACCAAGATTCTTAGCGAATCAGCGGCAAAATCACTATGTGAACACAAGCATTTAGGTCTTAGATTCTGGTCTCTGACAAGATTCCATCAAAATCCTAGAGAAGAACACAGGCAACACCCTTTTTGAACTTGGCCACAGCAACTTCTTGCAAGATACATCCATGAAGGCAAGAGAAACAAAAGCAAAAATGAATTATTGGGACTTCATCAAGATAAAAAGCTTCTGCACAGCAAAGGATACAGTCAACAAAACTCAAAGACAACCTACAGAATGGGAGAAGATATTTGCAAATGACATATCAGATAAAGGGCCAGTATCCAAGATCTATAAAGAACTTATGAAACTCAACAGCAAAGAAACAATCCAATCATGAAATGGGCAAAAGACATGAAGAGAAATCTCACAGAGGAAGACATAGACATGGCCAACATGCACATGAGAAAATGCTCTGCATCACTTGCCATCAGGGAAATACAAATGAAAACCACAATGAGATACCACCTCACACCAGTGAGAATGGGGAAAATTAACAATGCAGGAAACAACAAATGTTGGAGAGGATGCGGAGAAGGGGAACCCTCTTGCACTGCTGGTGGGAATGTGAACTGGTGCAGCCACTCTGGAAAACTGTGTGGAGGTTCCTCAAAGAGTTAAAAATAGACCTGCCCTACGACCCAGCAATTGCACTGCTGGGGATTTACCCCAAATATTCAGATGCAATGAAACGCCGGGACACCTGCACCCCGATGTTTCTAGCAGCAATGTCCACAATAGCCAAACTGTGGAAGGAGCCTCGGTGTCCATCGAAAGATGAATGGATAAAGAAGATGTGGTTTATGTATACAATGGAATATTACTCAGCCATTAGAAACGACAAATACCCACCATTTGCTTCAACGTGGATGGAACTGGAGGGTATTATGCTGAGTGAAGTAAGTCAATCGGAGAAGGACAAACATTGTATGTTCTCATTCATTTGGGGAATATAAATAATAGTGAAAGGGAATAAAGGGAAAGGAGAGAAACTGAGTGAAAATATCAGTGAGGGTGACAAAACATGAGAGACACCTAATTGTGGGAAATGAACAAGGGGTAGTGGAAGGGGAGGTGGCAGGGGGTTGGCGTGACTGGGTGATGGGCACTGAGGGGGCCACTTGGTGGGATGAGCACTGGGTGTTATGCTAAATGTTGGCAAATTGAACTCCAATAAAAAAAAAAAAGATTCTGGTCCCTGAACCTCTTCCCTATATTGGTCTTGCACAGTGCCTTAAACCCTCCAGCCTTCTTTTTCTCATCTATGCAATGGGGTGGTCTCTTCCCTAGAGGATTGCTACTCGAGTCACACATGAAACCATGAATTCACAGCCTGGAAATCTTTGTGGAGTTTCTCAAACCCTTCCAGGGAAATGCACTAGTGCCTATGGCCATCTTCTGCACAGATCTCAGCTTCTCTCTCTCTCCAACTTACTCTAGCCAAGAACTCTCTTCTTGAGGCATGCTGTGTGTTGGGCAGTGAGCCACAGCTTCTCTCTCTCTCCCCACCCCCCCTTACCCCAATCTTGGCCTCATCTCTCCTCTCAAGTGGTGGCTAAGACTCTGAGGGATTCCATCACATTGAGAACTGTCACAGACAGGATCCACAGCTTGTCATTCATAATGAACCTGGCCCAGTCAGGTCTTCCCCACCACCATGTGTGTGCAGATGTTCCTGGGGACTCCAGGTGATTCAACTGCTGTGGTATTAGTGTCCTCAGAGCATCCCCGTGGGCCCTGACTATGACCAGCTGAGCACCCTCTCTTCCAGCTTGTCTCATACCACCCACGAATAAGACAAGCCTGCCTTCCACGATGGCATCAGGCCTGAATAAGCATTTGTTTCTGGAAGCAGGAGAAACACGGAGAAGGGGAATGAACTAAGGGAGGTGGGCTTCTCAGTGACCTCAGAATCATCCTATAAATACCTCCCCTTTGCCTGGGTCTAGAGTGAGGCAAGACATGGCCTAGAGGGTGGTCAGGCCCCCAGATGCAGCTGCAGTAATATAGCCCTATAGCTACAGGACACAGGGCTATGTGCCACAGGGGCCCTAGAGTGGGGCCTCGCTGTCAGGCAGCAGGATTTCAAAACCGAGTTTCAGTTCCTTAGCTCCTCAGGCTCCAGGGGGAAAAAGTGATCTGCCAGACTCCCTCTTTGGCTAGTTCCTCAAACACTTCCATGCAGAGCTGGCTTCAGCCCAAGAAAAGTACCTGGGTTTCCCTTGCAACACTGCTTCTGTGCGTCCATGGCACAACTGTGTCTGGCTTTACACAGGCTCATTGTGGGAAGGGCTGTATTTACCCAGAAGTAACAGCAGATGTTATTTTTCTCTCTCTCTCTCTGTAGCCAGCTTCTCTCCCACTCCTCCTCACTTCCTGCTCTGACTTTGAGCCTCTCGGAGCTGCCCCTATTTCTCCTAATAGGCTTGCCGCTTTGTCCTCCTTTTGGGTCTCTACGGTTGCTGTTTTCTGGACAGAAAACAGCCTCCTCCTTGTCCTATACTCTGATGCTAGCTCCGCCAGGAAACCCTTGCCAGAGCAGCTACCTCCTCCAGTATCGGGAGAGGCTCCTTCCAGTCCAGCACCTGCTCTGGGCTCCTGACTGTGCTGGGTCTGCAGGACCTGACCTGGGTATGAGGGAGCTGATAGGAGGGTGGCGGGCGGTGTGAGGGTGAAGATGCAGGCCTCCACACAAGGAACAGTACTTTTCCGGCTCACCTCTTGTTTCCAATCCCAACCCTGAGCCTTACACACAGCAGGAGGTCCATAGATGACTGTTAAGTTATTGGATGAATTTGAGAAGCCTCATGGGATCCTCCAAAGTCAACTTTCCCACACTTGTGCCTATCTAGCTGGAATAAAAGATGTAAAAGTCTCCGGGGGTCAGGGAAGTGATTAAGCTGAGGCACTGGTCAGTGGAGTCCCTGGGGAACTGGGGACATATTCCTTCTCTGGACGGTCAACTTTTCTGCTGTTTCATGAACAGTCATAAATCTGGATTTGTATGGGTTCTATTTCACTATTTAAAGTCGGACACTGTGGCCGAGACATTGATTGTCCCTGGAACCCCGTGTTCCCCCACTCATATCATTTAGCTCCCTGTCGGGCCACATGACTAATATGTCACATATTACACACAAGAAGTGTTGGGTGTCACTCTCAGGTTGGTGTATTTGAGCAGCGTGTAATCTTGTTCTCTGCCATGGTGATCCAGAAAGGCACATGTCCCAATTGCTGCAGCTTCCAGATAGTCAGCCTAGGTTCCTCTGTGGACTAGAGTCCTCTGCCAACCCACTGTGGATATCGACTGGGAGAGACAAATAAACCCCTCCCCCCATGCTGGGAAAAGCTGCTGGTGTCTCAGGGACTTGTTACTGCAGCATAGCCTGGACTATCCTAATGCAGTAAATTATTTAATTAAAAAATTTATAGTTAAAAATAAAATGTAGCCAGACAAAACATACTTGCAAGACAGATATCCTTGGTGGGGCTCCAGTGTGTGACTTCTGACTCACCACAGGACTCAATTTACAATACTTTGATTCTCCCATAGCATGTAGGGAACATGCCGATTTTGCTCTATTTGGTAGGAATACTTCAAAGTGGAACCTCTATAAGTCTCTCAGTGATTAGTCATTAATATGCTTCCTAAAGAGCTCTGGGCCACAGGCTGCTAAACAGACCCTCATGGCTTCAGTTGACTGCCCTTTCCTCTCTGTGCCTTCATTTTCCCATCTGTACAATGGGAATATTGATCTCCAATTTTCTCAACTGTAGAATTCTTTGTTCAAATTGAGTATCTGTGCAAATCAGATTAGAAGGGGCTGCTTGGGTTGACAGTGAGATAGGTGGTGGGGAGCCCCATCCAAGGCTTTGCCTAGGACTCTGGATAATATTACTTGCAAAGCACAGTACTAAGTAACACATGAGACCTTCCCTGCACTGACCTTCCAGAATCTGCTTTTTAGAAGGACATGAACAACATGCTGAGTGGCTCCAGCTGGAGTAAATTGGCATCAGCTGGGAGAAGGGGTCAGGAGGAAAACAACAATCTGGAATCATATATGGTCAAGTGAAAGGAGAAAAGGGAAGGTGGCCCAGAGGGTAAATAGTTTAGCTTGGCAGGCACAGATAATGGGGCATACCACCCTGGGGAGGGCAGGAGGTGAGTAAGCAAGGCTGCAGGAAGGCAATGAAGAAGCTGCTTCACAAAAGGGGGTCTCTTCCAACTTGCTGGACTGGGTCTGAGCCCGATGCGGTAGGAAGCTGGCCCCCTGGAAAAACAGCCTCTTCTTTGA